ACTTACCTGGGAAGTATTATAACAGCAAACGATGGCGCAGACGCGGATACTGTCAGGAGGATCAGGAAGGCGCAGCGAGCTTTTGGCCAACTAAAATCAGTTTGGACCTCTCGTCAACTCTCCATACAAACAAAATTAATAATATTTAATTCCAACGTCATACCAGTTTTACTATATGGCTGCGAGACATGGAGAGTGACAAAAATATCTATCAACCGCCCACAGGTGTCATCTCAATCACTGCTTGCGAAAAATACTTAAAATCTTTTGGCCAGACACTATACGTAATACCGACCTGCTTTATCTTACAAACTAACAAGAAAATGGGGTTGGATATGCGAGATCAGCGTGGGAGTGGACTCTCCAAGGAAAAAGAAAGCAACGACGACCTGCTCGAACATGGAGACGTTCCATACTGGATGAGCTTTAACAAGTAGGGTCAACATGGAAGGAAGTAAAAACAACTGCCAAAAATAGAACCCGATGGAGAGCTTTCACTGAAGCCCTTTGCTTCGCGTAAGAGATATAGGATCCCTATATACAAACTAAACCCAGGTATCCACACTCTGGACAGTAACAATAACAGCTATTGTGACTTATTTGAAAAAAATATATCTACACCATTAAATATGTATGTTATTAATATAAAAGTATAATAATAAACTAAAATATAAATTTAGAAAGTGACACCTTGCGACGGCTCTCATTTAGATTATAGTATTAATTAATACTGAAATAATTAATATTTTATCTTCTTAATTAATAACGTACGTGTTTTTTTAGTAAACATTGTCAAATTATGTTCTTCAAATAACATTGCAATGTTATTTACAAAAAATAATTTGACATTACCTAACTAAATGTATTCATATCTTTTTTACTTGTTTTTAAATTCGTTTATTTTATTTTAGAAACAATAGTATTACTGTGCGTGAAGTGAATAGTGCCGAACAAAAAAATATGGAAAACTATGCATGTATCCATGTTTTTGACAGCTCCTATGGTATGGGCATGTAGAAAAAATGAAGAAGTGAGGACCTTATGGACTGCAACCTAAGAAAGTGCTGAAATGGATACGATCAGAAAGGAGAAAAAAGGAAAGGCCAAAAGTAACATGGATTGGAGGAGTACATAAAGCTATGTCGGAAAGGAATCTTCATCCAGGGGATTGAGAAGATAGGAAAGGCTGGCAACTGGGTACCGGAAGGCGTAGGACGCTATGAACCCGGATTATATAAATCTTTTGATATTTTGAAATGATGATTTACTTATGTATGTAGTCGTTTTCTTAATAAACTTAAAAACCTCTAATTTAGTGTATTTTTCTGAAATTCGATTTTTCTCTAATTCCCTCTTTAATTTTCAGTTCTGATCTTTTGGCATTTTCGCTTAAAAAAGTGGTATTTTAAATTTTAATCTAGAGTGCCACGTCCATAAATGTAACGACAATTTGACTGGAAATTAGTGATGTTGATTTTCGTTATTTTTTATTACTCGTTACTAATCGTTACTCGACTACTAAGTAATCATTTCAAATATTCTTTACTTTGATTACTAAGATTACTTTGTACTTATTTTGGTACTGCTGTTAAAGAACCTGTGTCTAATTTCACCTGCTTAAGGGATATATTTTCAAAATAGATTTTTAGCACTCGTTTTTTATTTAATAGACCTCTGTGTGTAAATTTAATACCTCTAGAACAGTTACATTTTTTGTATAAATATTCAAAAATTCACTAGTACAAAATTTCACTCCCAATTTCACTCTTTTAGAGGATGAATTTCCAAAAATCGTTTCTTAGTACTTAGTACAAATTTACGTAAATATAAAATGACAGCGATCTTAATTTCATAGCCATCGGTGACGCCGTTTTTTCATACGGTACTATGGTAGTTATAGTTGTCAAAGTAATCATATGATTATAAATTCGTTTAGGTTAGGTTAGGTTAGGCTCGTTTCTTCGGGTATCGATAAGTAAGGAGTACCCGGGTAACGAATAGTTACTCTTTCAACACCTCTACTGGAAATACCAAATATGTGGTACCAAATTATTCGAAAAAATTATTTTTCCAAATATGCTAATGAACCATCCTCGTTCCATTTGAATAAAAAGTGTTATGATTAAAAATACCATTTGGACATCTTTAACCGGCCAGGAAAAGACACGAGCACACACAGTACGGTCAAATCGTTTTCGAAAACTTCTTGATAAAAAATTAATGGTTTTTAACACAGCTCACTCTAGATTGAAATTTAAATGCTAGTTTGTATTTGTCAGAATGATATTTTCTGTCAAATAAATTTAAAAATACCGAGGTACCATTTAAAAATCAAAAGAGTTGTATTCATTTTCGGTGAAACAGGAAGTGACTGAAACTAATTGAATACGTCAGTCAATCCCAATTTATGTCATACACTAACATACGAAATTTCGTCTTTTTATCTTAAAAATTAAATAAGTTATAAGGGTGAGCTACTTTGAAAAACACTTCGTATACACGTTTTTTTTTTGTAAAAATAACAGTTATTGTTGACGGTTTTGTGTTTTGCATTATTATTTTGGAAAACCGCTTTTAACGCAGACAGACCTGTTTAAATCGTGTCTTGGTCGCATTCTTTATGTTGTTTGTCAGGTATAATCATTTAGTTTACCATATAGAATAAAACTTAAGAAATCACTTATATCATCTTATATAATTATTATTAATTAAGTAACAGTCGGTAGTTTGGAATATAGGTATAGGTAAAATTAAAAAATTCCATGTAAAAAGTTTAAGTTTTTCTATTTTTTTAGAGATTATAGAAAAGTCAAAAATCTATGTGGTCATAAAGATGGATTTTTTTATTAATTACTTTAGGTAAAACTTTTTTTCTTTTCTTTTTTAACTTTGGTGTTAATTATTCTTTTGAAATAGGTTGAAAATGATATAAAAAATGTACCTCTAGCGCTTGCTAATCTAACAACACATTTTATGTCGCCTGTCTGGCAAATATGCAGTTCTTTGTACTAGGCAATCATAGGCCATTAACAAAGAGCTATACGGAGGGTTCAGGTTTCAAGTTGTTAGTTTATTTGAAGAGGATAGGACTGAAGAATGCAACTTAGAGATCAGAAGAAGGTCGCATTGGAATAGGCTGATACCCACCTCAAAAATCTGAGTTACTCTTAGTTGATATAGCATTGCCCGTATATTTTTTCAAAAAAAAAAACAACCTAACCAACCCAAACAAACCATGACGAGTTTTCTGGACATGGAATCACCCTGTAGTATACACTATACATAGAAATACAAAATTAGCTAGTTAAATCACTAGAGACTTAAACAGAATAATCAAATCATTGTAAATCATTCTCACCATCCATCTCAATGACATAATATATGTATTATGTTTGTTCTATTGACACGTTACATTATTCATAGATATATGTACGTATATAGTTACCGAGATCAGACAAGTAATAATTAAACATATTAACTGTAATAAAAAATTGGAATGTCTATCTAACTCCCATTCCATTTTTTCTTAATTTTTATTTACCTAATTTTCTCTCTGTTTATTTTTTGATCCAGCTTTTTACTGATACTGATAGTTATGATATGAATAATAAATCTTAATTTTACGTGAGGAATCTCCCTACGAGAGATGGCACATGTTTTTTGAAACATCCTGTACATATATCCCAGAAGATCTTCTGGTAATTTCTATTCTGGTACACTGTAGAACTCTTTTTGTGTCCAGAAAGTTATTCACAACATCCGGGATTTTCCCCCAGTGTCTAAGAGAGGGCGCTCCAAAAAGTGTCCTGTATTACCGATGGAACCGCCATCCATCCTGTATAGTCATCCACCATACTAGATCTCTATCCACCCTGTATATTAACTATGTAATTAAAAAACCTAATAATAAAATGGTATGATCTTTAATTCTTTTAAAAAAATAATCAAATCTCTAATGTCTGTCGGTCTGTTAGTGTGAAAACACAAATTCCGCTGTAATCAAACTGTTGACGCCCCCGGTCTGCTTGATAAAAACAACAAATTGGAACGGGGCATTCGATATTTCGAGGAAAGCATGGGATTTCACGCCATTTTATCGGAACTATCGCGTTTCGGTACTGTTACGAGCCAACTGCAATCTGTATGTACTCACCATTGTTGTTAACATTATCTTTTTTTCATGTTGCCACCGCACGTTACGTTTTCATAGGATGAGCAAATTATTGTTATCTCTATATCTAATTATACAGGGCATTGTAACTTGTAACCATGGAGGTGAATCACCTGGCATGTGTGTTTCAGTTTCGATCTATTGATAATTCTTTAGCTTAGCATTGAGACTCTCTGGTCAGCCCAATCTTAAGTTTGTTCATATACTCTTTCCTTAATATTTCTATTCAAAGATTCTGACAAGCAATTTTTGACTTTCTTGTTTTTAATATCTGTTTATCTTTTTACAAGCTTTTAACTTGTGTAGTATGTATGTTTGGGTCAAATCTTACGAGCTGAATTATATTATGACTTCCTGTCGTTCGATTGGGCTTAAATTTGGTATAGTTGGTATCTTCTGTAACAATGCAATATTAGTCGAATAAAATCTTTAGGACTAAAAAAAATTAAAATGAAATTAAGAAAATAACCTTATTAAAACTCCCACGAAATCCAATATAGTATCATCAACACAATACAGATATGTTTTTAACTGAAAATTTACAAATTTTCCAAAAAAATCATAGGCATGTTATTGGGATCGAAATTTACCATCCCTAGAAATATTGGGCATTTATTTAAAATTCACTAAGTATTCGAGGGGAGGGGGTACAATAATAATGTCTGATGCCAACCGACAATGTGTATTTAGTTGCGGCATTGCGGTAATGTTAGTTTGAATTTACCCACTTTGCTGAGAAATGCGTATTATAATCATCATTTGCTATTGTTTTACTATATTATGAATATTTACACTTGGCAGTTACTAATATTGGTAATCTTTATTTCAGATTTAGTACACTGTACGAACGAGCCCAACGTCTCGATACCACAGCTCGCCAATTTGCTGATAGAACGATCGCAGAACACCAACTGGGTTGTTGTATATAAGGCCTTAGTTACATGTCATCACGTGATGTGTTACGGAAATGAGGTACATATAAACATATATGGTATAAACAAAAATTGTCTGTTTTAAGTACACTACTTTATAGAACATAGTCTGGCCAACGAGAGAAGGTATGACAGTGACAGTTACTGCCTGTCATATTTATCACCATGCATCTAACTTTGAAAAGAAGCGCCCTCTTGACTGCTCGAGCACTAAAATCATGTAATAATATCCACCCTTATTAATCTAATTTGTTTATTTTTAATATTACAGAAAAAAAATTAATTGTAATGAAATAGGTATATTAAAATTAAACGGAATATAGGTTAAATTGCTAATAAAAAATATTTCAAGACAAGTGACAAGATAAGCTATTGTCATTTAAAATGGTAATTTAAAATACAAATATATTTGATTAAAGTATACACACTACTAAATTACACTACTACACACTATAGTTAACAAAATAGAACAAAATAAAAATATTCACAAGTTTTTAAAGCACATTGATATTTGACAACTAAAATTCAACTAAGAGACGACCCCGTCCCTGAACAACAATTGATATTTTTACTCTAATAACTGGTGACGCCTCTGGTGACTGTTCGCAAAAAGTTTATAGCTTTTATTCCCAGTTATTGCTATTAAAGAAGCATTTCTAAAGGGATTTTTGTAGTATTAATTTAAAAAGTTAACTCTTATTGTCATTTTTCAGATATCGTTTCTTGTAATTGTCCGTTCACTCGTTAGGTAGCTTACATTATAATATAATGTTCTTAACGAGATATACGAGATGTTAGATATTAATGTACATTTGAAAATGCCTTAATTTTTTTTAAACTTAAAAGGCAATGGAAAGTTTAAATTGTTAATGTAAACTGTTAATTAAAATTGTTAAGAAATACATTTCTAATAAAAATAGATAGATAGATAGAAGTGATAATAATTACTTAACCTAAAAAATATCAAACACGCTACTGAAAGACCTAAGTCATATTGACGCATTCTAATAATTATTTTGGTAAGCTGTAAATGTTATAAAGGATTGGTTTCCTACATGCAATATGTATTATATTTGTTACTTATCAGTGAAAATTATTTTCTTATTTATCTCGATTTTTGATCGAGATCTACTGCACAACAGATTATTTTACAGTTTTTTTCTGAAATTTGCAATAATGTCAAAATTAATTGATGCTATTAGTGCAAGAAGGTGTTAACTAACAAATTTAAAGCTTTGAGAAAATGAAGGCTAAAGTTTTTTGATTTAAACTTTTTTCTGAAATAACACTTTTATAATTTCCCGTAACTTTGCCACAGAGGAAGAAATTTTGTCATCTCGTATTTACTAACATATACAGTGTTGTTCACGTTATTCGACACGGAGTATTGTAGCCAAATGTCCCAAATGATCAAGGTTGTTCATTCAATCAAAATCAAAGTTGTATTTTTTTAAATGGTAAAATAATATACACCCTGTATATTATTATATTATTATTAGAACAAAGCTAAATTTGATTAAGGTTTACCGCACTTTAATCTTATCGTTTTTAAAATATTTGCGATTTTGTGAAAATGAATTAACAATTTTAATGTCTCATTTTTCTAGGCACATTTGAGTTTCTAAAACCAAATATACTGAAGTTACTGAAGTGTACTGTACTGAAGTTTTTCTATATACTAAATATTGCGTTGCAATAATAAAACTAATACTACCTTATACAGGGTATCTAAAAAGATATTATAAATAACCAAGTACTAGCTTTAAACGCCAATAAACTTGTTTAATTTAAATGGATCACCCTGTATATTTTACGTGAATCAGATGCACAATGTAATTATCTATCAAATTTTATAACACCATTTTTAGCTGTATGTTCGGGTTTTCGTAGAAAACGCATATTACTATAATTCAAACTTTATTAATTGATATTTATTTATCAATATACCCATGGACTTTTGACGTTCTAGATTGAATGAAATATAGCTTTACTATATAAAATCAAAGTAAACTAATTGAAACACCCTGTACTGCGGCAAGAAAATGCAGCCAATTCTCGAAATTGTATCTCTTAACATCAAGCCTTCTATTGTTTGTTGTTGATTGCATTCTAAATTCTCATAAATTTAATAAAAATATACAATGAAGTTATTAAAAAAATGCACCATTTAAAATAAAACAACTTCCAAAAATAAACTATACATATTTATTATACATGTATGTTTTATGTTTCAGAGATTTACCCAGTTTTTGGCCTCCAGCAACAGCACATTTCAATTAAGTAATTTTTTAGACAAAGGTGGTTTACAAGGTAAGAAGACTTTTTAAGATAATATTAGACTATAAATAATCCATTTGTAAATTAACTTTTTGTTGGAAAGAATAGTTTTAATAATCTGTATAATATACAGGGTGATCTAAACTAATCTTTCTGTTTGTGCATAGGGATTCTAAATTCAAAAACCGGTAAGTTGTGTACGTTGTTCGTTTTTTTGTGAATTTCTTTTATTATCAATCAAATGCAAAAATAAATTAGGTTATCTAGGAAAAGAATGCTTTCTTATTATTCTCATCTAACCTTTATTTGTGTGTTTGTATGTTAAACTAATTGAACCAAACTAATTTCACCAAACCAACACCATCTTTAGCTCTAATTTTTTTCTGTAGAGTGAGACCTTCTACTATAGAGACGTTTTATAGTGTAGATGTCAAATTTATAATTAAAACCACACACTATAAAAAATTACTTTCATTAATTAAATAATTAATTATTATTTATTATTTATTTACATTCTTAAAACACATATTTTTTACAATATCATGTTATCAGAATTAATTTAATGCGTTATGCATTAACCCAGTGAAAAATTAAATTAATTAGTAATACTGTAGAAATAATTGACCTTTTGGGTACTTTTAGCAAAAAAATATAAATTGTTTCTAAAAAAAATAAAAAAAATTAATCTATAACAAAAATAAAACATATTAACTATTCAGCTTCACTGAGTACATAATATACTTTATCAGTTCTATTGTTTCCTCATCCCCAATTATTTGTGTAATATTAATTATTACACTATAATTATTATATAATAACGAATTTTGATATAAATTTCATATCAATATTATATTTTTTCTATATTTTATGTAGATAAAAATATACTACATAGTATGATCATAAGTTTTATAGCTAAGGAAGATTAAAATATTGACAGTTAAATACATATTTCGTAATTACAGTATGTATATTTTGTACTAAAAATATGTTAATTTTGTATTTACCAACTTATTGTATGTTTTATGTCTTAAATTATTATTATAATTTATTTATTTATTCTCATTATTTTAGTTTTAGTTAATAAGAAAAAAATATATACTTGTTTTTATGGCGATTTAGCTTGTTAACTTTATATTGTGCATGTTGCTATATTTTTAATTTTTAGAATAATATCTATTTCTACGTTATACGTGATTATTTTATTACCATTAATAAATTTCACTTTTATATACCCACTAATTTCTAAGAAGATAAAAGAAGTTTTAAAAAATTATAAAGTTTTTGAATTTTTTTGGAATATTTTTTTTCAAAATTTTTGAATTCTTATTATATTTTTTTCTTGTATTGCATAAAGCATGTTAGCATAAGTTAATCTAATTGACAATGAGTCGTTAGTAACTAAAAATACAAATTTTCAGTATACCAATTTTGTTCCAATCGCTTAAACAGTTAAATGTTAGGAATAGGGCACATTAATCTAATCTCTATACATATTTTTTTTCTTTTAGGTTATGAAATGTCCCCTTTTATAAGGCGCTACGCCAAATATTTAAATGAGAAAGCTTTATCGTACCGATCGGTAGCCTTCGATTTTTGTAAAGTTAAAAGAGGGTAAGTAGCATTAACGCACTTTTAACCACATACGTTTTTACTAATCAGATTGAGATTATTAGAAAAGGCTGTTACATTTTCTAAATATTGATACAAATTGACTTTATATCATCTATACATCGATAAAGAAAATAAATTTAGATTGGAATGCCCGTCAAAATTTTTGGTCGCGACCGTTGTACGCGATCTGGCGCTGCATAGCGGTTGCTAAGAACAACCTCAAACAAAAACAGAAATAATTTTCTCTTGTTATTCTGTTGTTAGTCATAGATAAAAGAAAATAATCTACTATTAAGATAGATATGAAACTTAGTAGTAAAATTTTGGGTCAAAGCGCCCCTCCGTGTTTTTAGTGGAGACTACGTTTAACCCAGCGCCTTCGTCTTTTCTGCTGTAAATGTTTTTTATGTTTATATTTGAATTCAAAGGATTTATCATAGATAAATGAAACAAGTTTAGATTGGAAAGTGCCCATAAGGACAATGTAAACACTATTTGGCGCTATTCTGGCAACGGTCGCGACCCAAAACTTTTGAAAATTTCGGAGCGGTTCGGCTTTTTCCGGAATTATATCGCCAAATATTGTTTATTCAAATTTATTATTATTTTCGTTTAATTTTATAAATAAAATACAGTGTGTTGCATACAAGAAACTTTATTTTATATAAGGACGCATGTATGAAATACCTATGAAACATTGGTTATGCCACGATCCACGATGGTTTTTGCAGTTCACAGTTCACAGCACAGCTTTTTAAGTTTTTAATGCCACTTTTTCACAATTATTACCGGTTGGAGTAAATAAAACTTGAATTAAACTCACAAGATAGCAATAATTACTTTGAAAATGGACGCTATAAACACTTTTCGGAATTTCTTTAATGAGAGCGGTTTAGATTTTGAAAGATTATTATGATTTTTGAAGATTCTGACTTTGACAAGAGAAAATTATTTCTGTTTTTGTTTGCCGTTGTTCTTAGCGACCGCTTTAGCAGCGCCAGATCGCGTATAACGGTCGCGACCCAAAATAATTTCGCGACCTAAAATTTTTACGGGCTTTCCAATCTAAACTTGTTGCATTTATCTATGGGATTTATTTTTAAAGTTACACTGACATATCAGTATATCAGAGTAACTTTAATAAAACATAAGATATATATATATATATATATATATATATATATATATATATATATATATATATATATATATATATATATATATATATATATATATATATATATATATATATATATATATATATATATATATATATATATATATATTTTACAATTTATTTTTTTATTTATTTTACAGAGTTTCATGTAAATGATCGTAACTCGACTGGCTGTCTAATGAATAAACCGAGATTTATAGATTTTAAAGCAAACGAAAAGAAATCAAACAACGAATACATACCATATATTTTTCTTTTATCTAAGATACATACCTTATCGTATTTTGGAAACACGTACATTTTTGCAGTTTTGTTAGTTTCTTTGCAAGATGCAACACAACAAGAAAACACCATTTTTACAGTTAATAAATAATAAAACTATTTCTGACTATGATATTTAAAATTTAGATAGATAAAAAATTAAAAAACAAACGAGTATTTGCAAACGCAGGCCCAAATTCAATAAAAATCAAAATTTTTCCTGCGAAAATCAGACTTTTTTCACTGAAAAGGTATTTTTTGATTTATCAGCAGTCATTGTCAAGTTGACAATATACAGGATGTTTTCGAATTAGTCTAAAAAAATTATGGTGTGATTCCTCATGTGTTCTTAAAACAATTTTTATATAACCATTGGGTCTAAAGTACTTCCTTTCTGATCTACAGGGTGTTAAAAATTAAAAAAAATCGTTTTTTTTTGCTTAACATAAATGGTACACCACTACTTTTTTAAAAAAATATATTTTTTTTCTTGACTGGCCATCCTTTTTCAACAAAATTGATCTTTTGCGTTTTTCTTGTTCATCAAACGGTTGTCGAGAAAAAAATAAATATACTTGTTAAGAGCCCGCCTTAATTCGTTTTCTAACGATTTTTTATTTTTTAGATTAATTAGGAAACACCCTGTATATGCATATCACAGGCAACCAAATAAATTAGTAACCTCTAAAAATTATTCTTCCTACCACTAGCGACATACCGTGTTTTTAGTATGTACTAAATTATTTAATCAAAATTTCACCATATAAGTTTCCAGGCAATGGTTGTTAGTTCCATATCTCTTGTCAAAGTCAGAATCTTCAAAAATTATAAAATCTTTCAAAATCTAATCTCTCATTGAAAAAATTCCGAAAAGTGTTTAAGGCGTCCATTTTCAAAGTAATTATTGCTATCTTGTGAGTTTAATTCAAGTTTTATTTACTCAATCCAATGATAATTGTGAAAAAGTGGCATTAAAAACTTAAAAAGCTGTGCTATGAACTGTGAACTGCAAAAACCATCGTGGATCGTGGCATAACGTCGGTTTTCAATGTTTCATAGGTATTTCATACATGTTCCTATATAAAATAAAGTTTCTAGTATGCAACACACTGTATTTTATTTATAAAATTAAAAGAAAATAATAATAAATTTGAATAAATAATATTTGGCGATATAATTCCGGAAAAAGCCGAACCGCTCCGAAATTTTCAAAAACTTTGGGTCGCGACCGTTGGTTGCAAGAATAGCGCCAATCTAAACTTGTTTCATTTATCTATGCCTCTACATCCTGACAAAATCTGTGTGAAATGGTTATATTGTCATAACTTAAGGCTCAAATTAAACTTCCAGGAAAGACGATGGCATGCTCCGCACCATGAACGCTGACAAGCTATTAAAAACGATCCCCGTCCTGCAGAACCAGCTGGACGCGCTTTTGGAATTCGATTGCAACGCCAACGATTTGACTAACGGCATCATAAACATGTGCTTTATGCTTTTGTTCAGGGATTTAATACGATTGTTCGCGTGCTACAACGATGGCATCATTAATTTGTTAGGTAAGTGTTATCGTTACTTTTCCTTATTGCCGATAGCAAGTAAGAGTACTTAAACAATTAGCCTGATTAGTGATACTTTATACAGAACGATACACTATGATTAAATTAGTTGGAAAAAATATTATTGATGCTAAATTATCGATCGAAAAATTTTACCAGATTATGTCAGTTCATTAACGTCACTTTTTTGAATCTTTTTTTCTCTTCTTTTAATTTTCTTGACTTTGATATTTTTTGTGAAATCGACATATTCATTATAAAAAATTACTGTTTTTTAATACACATATACTTCGCATCAAATAAACTTTTAGGCACGTGATTGAGCTTGAACGGCACAGGGTTGCCCACTTTTATATATTTTCTTTTAATCAAAATATTTTAAGAAAAAAAAAATAATTATAAATATATAAACAGTTATTATTTACATCAACAAAACTCACCTCCTTGACAGCACTTAACTCGGCACTTAACGAACATAAAGGGCCATTACTACTGCTTTCCCGTTCAAAATATTCTAATAAAGTTGCGATGAATTTTTTACTACTATTTATTTACCACTTTTTGTGGAATGGAGACCAAGACACGAGGTCTATAGAAGCAGAGAATGACCTCCTAGTCGATGGACAGGTGAAATAACAAGAGTGGCGGGAAATTGGATTTAAGTGGCACAAAATAGAAAAAGATGGCTACAGTTAAGGAAGGCTTTTGTTCAGCAATGGGCGGGATATAAATGATAAATGATTATGATTCAAATGAATGAAACATTGCATGCTTATTTCAACATCGATCTAATAATATAATTTTGGTATATTTTTCCTTCTAGTATAAAAATATGTAAATGTATAAATAGACCTGATGATATACCGGGTTCGTCTCAAAAGTGGCTCACCTTTATAACTTTTTTATTTTAATAAATATATATAATAAATAAATCAACTAAAAACAGATTTGGTATGTTAGTATATGACATAAATTAGGATTGATTGGCGTATTTAATTCTTTTCGGTCACTTCCTGTTTCACCAGAAATGACTACAACTTTTGATTTTTAAATGACACCCTTGTTATTTTTTTACTTCATTTGATAGAAGATGTCATTCTGACTAGAATGCCATAGCATATGTCAACTTTTGATATTTTCAATTAAAAAAATAGTATTTTAAATTTTAATTTAGACTGCCATGGCCATAAATGTAAAGACAATTTGACTCGAAATACCAAGTTTCTGTTACCAAATTATTCGTAAAAAAATGCTTTTTCAAAATATGCTAATGAGCCACCCTCGTTCCCTTTGAAAAAATTGAGATATGATTAAAAATGCGATTTGGGCATATTTTATCCGGTCAGGACAAGAGATGAAAAACATTACGATAAAATCTATTTTTCCAAGACTCCTTAAAAAAATTATTGTTTTTATTCATGGCACTCTAGATTAAAATTTAAAATTGATTCTTTTTTAAGCTAGAATGTCAGAATTTGACATTCTATTCAGAGAGTCATTTAAACTAGACTAATGTAAAAGAATAAGTTGTAGTCATTTCCGGTGAAACAGGAACTGACCGAAAATAATTGAATACGTCAATCAATCCTAATTTATGTCATATACTAACATACCAAATCTCGTTTTTTTATCTGAAAAAATAAAAAAGTTATAGGGGTAAACCACTTTTGAGGCGCACCCGGTATATCTAAGTAAATTTCTTGTTTTCTTTTCAGAAAAATATTTTGATATGAACAAGAAACAATGCAAAGAGGCTTTAGACATATATAAGAAGTTCCTTGTTAGAATGGATAGTGTAGCAGAATTTTTAAAAGTAGCAGAAGTATGTATTATTTCAATTTGTTACACCAATATTCATATTTAATTATTAACAATTATTTATGTATAGTCTGTCCAACAAGAGAATGTATGTTTTCGACAGACGACGCCCAGAAAACCATAGAAGAATCAATCTACTTTTCACTTAATATGACAGACAACCGTCACTGTCATATATTCTTTTCCTTGGACAGGCTAAATGAAGCTTTTCTTAGTAAATACCTACCAATCTATTATTAAGTAATTGATCCAATATTTCTTATTAATTATTTGTAGTACACTATAATATTTTCTATGTTTGTGTTTAGAACGTTGGTATAGACAAAGGCGATATTCCAGACCTCACCAAAGCTCCTAGCAGCCTTTTAGACGCTCTAGAACAACACTATAGTCATATGGAAGGCAAAAAGTCATCTTCTAGTTCAAATTCTTCCAAGTGAGCATCAATTTTTAAATCTTTTATAATTCCTAACTAGTATTAATTGCTTTTTTACAGCACAAGTAACCAAAAGAACGTCAAATCCGGCGTGTCAGCGTTAAATTCCACGAGCAACGCATTTGGCAACGTTGCATCTAATTCAAAATTCGATTCTTTGAACGGCATAGACGAGAATTTGAAACTAAAAGCGTTAGCGGAGGAAGAGGCTGCAATGAATCAATTTAAAGTAAGTTATGACAGATTATATAGCTTCAAGTCTTTTTTTTTCACCACAAGGGACCGTCCTCTGCCGGAAATAGTGCGACCTGTGAGGCTATTGTGTTTGTCCCCTTTCTATATCTGCACCCATTCTCCTATCCCTGTGTCCTGCACTAACTTATGCAGGTCCTTGATAGGATGGGAGCAAAGTTCCTCCGGTTCTAGCCTAGCTTTCCCAAATAAAAAGTGTCGCTTGCAATCCAGAGCCTCGCATTGACATATTATGTGCTCCGATGTTTCAGGATTTTTATCGCAGAGTCTGCAGCAAATACTTCCTTGATACAGGTTGAGCTTGTTCAGGTAACACTTGACAGCCATGTGTCCTGTCAAGAGGCCTGTTGTAATCCGCACTTTATTCCTGCTAAACATTAGCAGTTCTTTTGCGGTTTTAGAGCTAGGTCCTTGGATGAAAGCCTTGCTGTGCCTGTGCCCCTGTCTGTTTCTCCAGTGGACATTCTGCTTTTCCCTGATCCAGAGTTTCAGTGCACTACGGGCCATACATTTGGGTATTCCCAGTACTGGCTCTGGACCAAGATAGGATGCCGATGATCCTTGCCTCAGGTGGTCAAGTCTTACCGCAAGATAAGACATTCGCCAAAGTTGTTGTGTATTAATTTCAAGTCTACGACCAGTTGAAGTCTTGAAGTTCTAAGCCAAGACCATTATTATCTAGGGGCCAGAATCATTATTTCGAGATAGATAACATTTTTTGTTGACTCCGGACATTCAAAAATCTTATTTCTTTGTTACCTGGTTACTTTTTGGTTGTCGTTGTTAACTGAGCTTACAGTTCTTCTCCATTGCGTTCTATTGTGCGCTGGTTCCTCCCACTGAATCTGCATGCTTATCTCCTTAAGTATTTGTAGAAAATATCCTCGTACCTTTTGAGTTTTTCGTATAACAGTAGCGCAATAAAGATATTCAGATAGTGACCGCACCAGTGTCGGGTATTAGGGTTTTAAGATTTATTTTAAGTTTTGTTAAAATATATTTTGTTACACAACGTAAAATAATATGATAATTGCAATACAAATATTTATTTATCTGTTTTTGGCATTTTCAGTAACGTTGAATTATAGGAATAATAGGTTTTAAGCCATAAATATATAGTATAAGTGCTTCTAAATTAATAAAACGAAATTTAATATTTCAGATACTTTCTTTACATTCAATCTTATTTTCATGTCACTAATTATGGGTATAAAGTACCAAAGAGGAATAATACAACTGAATTTTCTAGTCGAAAGTGTCCTCTCCAGTCAGCAACCCATTCCTATCTAGTTCGTCGTCGTCGGCGACGTTATCTAGCCAATCGGCGCAGCCTGTCGACTTATTCGCTCCAGATTTGACAACACCGACGTCTAAGGCGTCGGACGATCTGTTGCAACTGTCAAATCCGTTCGCGGACGCCTTCGCACAGCCTCCAGCGCTAGCTGTGGCTCCATCTTACACCGTACCTCAACAGACTAGCGCATGGATTGTAAACGGGAATGGTTAGTCACTTTATATTCTTTTAACTTTCTTTATTAATTAAAATATATGGTATTAAGTACAATTATGAAACTATTATATCGCTCTCTAGGTTATGGTGTTCAGCAAACCAACAGTGTGGTTCCAAATGGAGCATTTGTTCCAGAAAATGCTTTTGCCTCGGTATTTGGAAATACGGAAGCTCCAGGTAAGGCTATATGTTGTTCATCTACTATCTACTTAAAACAGACCTTTTGATAAGGAGTAATTTTTCAACAAGCTTTTAAAAAAGCCAACTAACCTAGCGCTTTTAATATCTCTGCGCATGTCTGCACCACATCATACAATCTTTCGCACGATTTCATCAAGACACGAGTTACTGTTTTGTGTAACACTTGTATTAATGAAATAACTCTTAGAATTGCCTTTTACGCGGGCACAATAGAGCATTTTTTTATTTTTGGGTTATTTTAAGTTGAAATGTTTATTTACATTACATCATCACCATTTGCATAGAAACTTAAAAAAAAGTTTTAGCTTATGCGTACAAGATATTTGAGAATTTAAATTAAATGGTGGTGTTGGTCGGGTACAGCTTTTGATTTAAGCTATTGGAAGCATATATTTTTTCTTTTTAAATGACACTCTATATTCTGTCAGCAGTGGATTATCACAAATTATATTTTCATATGTATAATTACTGTAACGACTAAGAATTTTGTTTTTATTTTTTTACTATGTGTACCTACCAATTTATTATGACTATGTGGGCAATATTTCACCATTGTAATAAATTGGAGCAATGTTAGTTAAAAAGCTAGTAATATAATTTTTCGTAGTGATTTCCATGTGAAATATTGCATATTTTACTATATACTCATATTCAACTGTTTAACAAAAATATCAAACAAAGGGCTGGGTCATTATTACGTACTCTGATTCTTTTCCTTATTACAAGTTTACCTAAACAAAGCTGAGAGATCATTGGTCGACGTACAGTTCTTAATGTACAAGCCTGGTCATCCTAAATTTTTGTTTTATGTGAGATAATGATAGAAATATCTTCACCAAGAATTTTAAAGCGTCCAAGTAGGGGATTTAAATAGTATTGTAGCTAGGGTTCAACCACTAATATTTGGACAAATACATAGTTATTTTACCACAGTTTAAAATTCAATTCAATTTCTATATTCTATATATTTATATTATTTGATATTCTTACGGCTAATACTAATAGAAAATTAATTTTCGCACGCACAAAGCTCGGGGTATTAAGTATTTTGGAAATAATATTTGACATATTTTGACGCTTTATAAAAATAAATTATATATTTTTTGGTTTAGAAATTATTAATGTTTATTCACCAACAATTAAATGTCATCACTGTAAAAATTATTTTCCTTAGTATTTGAAATTCTTAAAATATTTGTGAAGTTAGGTTAGCTAAAACAATGTGAGCGCAAGCGCTTACTAAAATATTCTTAAGACAAATAGAAGTGTGAACGGCATTTCCGTGTTAAGGTTAATTCATAGTTAATGGGCTCTTTCACAAAAAATAAAATACCCAATTCAAGGACAAAATCTGAAATAGACTATTTTCAGTATATTTATCCAAAAAAATCGTTCCATGACATTGAATAATTTTTTATAGGCCCTCAAAATTGCTTTAATTTGAAATAATTTTAAAGTGCCAACTGATGACGTATGAAAAATACGCCCAATCACATTGCAGAACCGTGACCAGCACCACCTCAACTCAAGGCGAATCAACATGATATGGGAAGGCAAATATGGCGGCGAAGGCAGTGCATTATTAAATTGTTTACCTTTAACCTGAAAAGCCGGTAGTGGTTTCTCGTTCCGATTGCATACCAGAAATAATTAATTATCTCTAGTTTGTTATGCTTCTGCAACACGTTTGTTTAGTTCTTAATATTCAGTGCATGGTGTGATCAGAAAATTGTGATAAAATAACAGTGTAATAAAAAATCCAAACCAGACATTCCACATAGAGAACTTCACACTTTGAAAATATAAATGGCCTGGATATTAAGTCTTTTAAGGTAATAACTAGAAGTATTTATCAAGACACCTAAATGAGCCTTCACCGCCAGTCTGCATAGTACTTTATAATGGTTACTTACAATAATCAAAAGATAGGTATTAAAGGGTAGGTATTAACATTTTATTGTAGCATACCTTTTACATGCTCTGTTCCAAATTGTCACGAGAATTATATAGGGGGTCCCAAGGTTTCTGCTTTTATATTCCCCAAAAATGACGAGTTTCGTAAAAAATGGTTTACAGCTATTAAAAGAGATAATTTCACTCCTACTAGTAGTTCTCGGGTAATAAATATGCCTCAAAAAGGCCAAAGGCCAAAGCCTCTGTTACCCTAGTGAGTCCTTTTTTTCCTCACTATAAGTAAGATATTGGAAGAATAACCAAGCTTTTTACATCAAAAAGATCACAGAAAGATATTGACAACATTGACATTTGAAAATATAAATGGCCTGGATGTAAGTCTTTTTTTAGGTCACAATTGCCCCTCACATACTTCAGAATTTATTATTAAATCCATCTTGTTCAGAATATCCAATATTTTATTGAAGAACTATGCAAAAAAAGGAATGACCACAATCTTTACCACAAAGACAATGCCCTATGTAAAGAGAAAGAGTAAAGAAAACTAAGCTAAGCGTTAAGTTTTACTTACGAACCCCCAAAAAGGAATTTAGTTTTTTTTTTCTATATAAAATCTTGAAACACACATTATATTTTTTAGTTATCCTCACCTATTATAGTTTGAATTTATTCCCATTTGTGTAATGCTGCAAAACATAGGAAAAATATTCCATATTTTTTGACCCAAGCCAGTGTAGTTTATAATTCCAAGAGCATTTACCAAGGCTTTTATTTACTAAGACAAGTAACTTCCTCTACTGTCCACAATAGTATATATTTATCAAACGTGCAGTAAATTCTAAAGTATGGTAGGTAAGTGTTTGCAATTGAATATTTAGTTTATATTGCTATTTTCTGTCATATATTTCTGGTTATTTCTTTTTCCGATGATTTTGAACACCCTATATATGCTACCTCAAGTTTGAATATTTTAACACTACCTACCTATTTTTTGAGAAAGCAGACCTTTTTATAAAAAGTAACTAACTGATGTTTTCATAAAAGTAATAATACAAACAATTCCATACTTATGTGGAGAACTTTAGACTCCTTGTATATTAAAAAATTAGTGAAATATTACGTAATCTAACCCGACATTTGTGTGAAAAATGTCTATTTGGAAATAAAACAGGTTTTAAAATACGCGCCAAATAAAGCACTTCTATCTCCGCCATATTGGAAAAGGTTGAATAGCCTTGTCTGGAGGTGGTGGTGGTGGGTCAGCATGGTGGCCCGGCCGTGTTGCCGCTTCTCAACATGCCAGGTGTGACGTATTAAAAATAAAGTGCGGATTTTTATTCTGGCATTTTTTGTTTTTATTTATTTCCTTAAGAACGACTTCAAATTTTTCGAAAGTGAGATAGCAGAAAATTCTAGAATTAATTGCTTTATTCAATTATGCTAATTCCAAAATAGAGTGAAAGAGCCCATTACTTCTTTCTAAAATTAACCTTAACGTTCTTAAGGTTAATTTCTTGTAACAGTACGTCTATCTTTTCTGTAGCTACGAGGCATCCGTAAGGGGGGAAACGATATTCTCTGCCGTTTAATCGATGTTTATCGTAAAAAATTAGACGACGCGTCCCATCAATAAAAATTCGACAAATTTAACAGTAATCAATGGAATGAGTGGGCGAAGTGTTTTGCGATGACATACTCGTCAAGTCCACGTGAACTCTCTGCCGTTTCTATATAGGTAGCGATTTATAAAATATATTATGGTTTATTTAAATGTTTTTTGTCCACGTTCTTTTCATAGACATAGATTCAGTAGACGTACTTTAGTTAATAATACTTGAAGTATGAACTCACCATTAGTGTATATTTACATGCATCCTTGATGCGTCGTCAGTCGTTGTTCTTACGCTGTTTTATTGGTTTATTTTAAAAATTACATATCATTCTTCAACCTGATTGAAGTGACGGAACGACAAATGATGCATGACAGATACATATAAACTCACCTTTGTGTGTTAATATACAAAACACGGATTTAGAATGACCAGATCTGCGTACAATATTTTCTTATTCGAATTTCGTGAATTTCTGCAAATAAAGTATTTCTGTAAAGAACATGTTTACATACATTAAAAAACTGAGTTCATTGCTTACTCTTTTTATCTTTTGATAAGGTCTGTACTTTATAGCAGAACTTGCTGCACTAGTTGAATGTTCTTAATTGAAGGGATGGCTGCAATAACATTTTAACAAATGGAGGCTGCTCCATTTTAACAAATTTTGCTAGCCAAACCAGACAGCTCTAATATCTGTTCGGTTTTTGTTGCAAACCGAAAGCAATGTAGCTCCAGTAACGTTGCCATATAGGTACTGTTCCACAACGTGGACTGATAACTGCAGGGTACGATCGGTCTATTTTTATAGGGTAACTAACTAAATCTCATTTTCGTCAAAAAGTGGAGCTGCCTGGTTATTGCAGTCACCCCTTCAATTGTCATTTGACGTAACCCAAATTTGTTCTTAATTATCTGACCCGAAAAAGAAAAGCATTAAGTTTGATTAAACACAATAAAAAAAATTGGCGTAGAGTAGTGCAGAAAGTCCAATAAAGTATACATTTAAAGCTTACAGTATCTCATTATAAAAATGTTAGCTTACACGGTACTCTATTATCGCAAGCTGCCGATGACGAGGTCTCCACCCCCTCGTATAATCCCTTCCTTAACGAGGACAAAACCCCGCCCCTCCTGGATTTGGATGATGAGCATGATGACGAAAGCAATCATTTTCAAAACGTAATAGACTTCATCCAAGTCCGAAACTCACTCGATCGCAATCAAGCAAGCTGTGACGTTAACGATATATGATTTGTCACATTGCTTACCCGTCATGAAAATTATGTGTTCATTTTATTGATATTCCTGTTGTGCCGTGTAATAATGAACTCAGTGAAACTAACTGTTGATGTTACAGGTGATACTGCATTCTATCTTGTAAATATTGATGTTTGTCGTATATTTGTTTTATTCTTATTATGTTTGTGTACTTTACGATGAGTTTATATACTGAAGTATAGTCCAGATGGATCGACAAAGAGACATCATTAATTTAATGGTTTGACAAGTAGGTACAAATATCTAATTGTAACAGAAGAATCAGGATGATAAGTGTATTACAGTTTCGTAAAACGGTGTAGATTTGAAACCAGTTTTCATACCATCGCTATGAATTAAAAGATAGATGTATCAAAGTAACAAAGACATATCAAAGTAACAAAAAATGGATATCTGACCGTGACAGTTGTTGTTTGTCATTTTAACTCCCAGCTAAATGGAATATTTCAGTAAAAATAAAAATAATCTAAAATGTCAATATTCCATGGGTATAATTATAAGAAAATGCATTTTCTACGAAAATTTAAGAGATAGGTAAAATGTGGTATAATACAATTTGATAGACAATTGAGTTGTGCATTTGATTCTGGTAAAATATACAGGGTGTTCCATTTAAATTAAAGAAGTTATTAACGTTTAAATACATTTTTAGACACTCTGTATAAGGTAGTATAATTTTTATTACGGCCGCACAAAATTTAGTAAATAGAAAAACTTACCAACAATACAATATTTGGTTTTAAAAACTTGTATACGTCTAGAGTAATGAAGCATTAAAATTATTGTTACTGTATTTTGTCAAAAACGTAGATATTTCAAAAACGGTAAGATTAAAATGCAGTAAACCTTAATCAAATTTGCCTTTATTTTGATCGTAGAAACTGAAAATATAATATACAGGGTGTTTCATTTAAAAAATTCAACTTTGATATTTTTTATTTATTTGGGACACTATGTATCTTGTAAAAATATTTTTAAATTGTATTTCTAATAGTCCTTCAACGAACCCAAAACTTACAATTTGTAAAAATCTAATCGTTTAGCTACAATACTCTGTGTCGTATGTGGTGAATAACCCTGTATACAATAGGGTGTTAAAAATAAATTATTGTATATCAGTAACTTTGACATTTAGCAACGTATGCCATTTTTGATAATATGTAAGTCTTGCTAAAACACCTTATAATTTTTATTTAACGAATGAAAGAACTAGATACATTCACATTATTTTTTAAGTCTTGAAAGCTAAATTTCAGTTTTATTTTAATTTGTATTAAATTATCTGATACTTATTTGACAAACCTAAACCTTAAATAGTTAATAACTCAAAAATAAAAAAATGATTTAGATCTTTGTGGATACACTGGACTGTTCGATACTTATACAGGATAGTTTAAAATTAAAGGGATTAATTTCAAAGTTAGAACTTATTATACCCGTTTTCTTTGACTTAACTATAATATTTACTCATTTAATTAATTGATAATTATTCATCATAAACTATATATTATCTAAAAATACGAATAAAGAACCTCCCAGTTCCCAGAATTATAAAATTACATATATGTGTATGCATCTAAACCGCAAGCATATGCATTAATTATTCAATTAGTCATATTTGTTGTGTACATATGTAAATTTGCGCACATTTTTTTTTTACTTGAAAGACTGTCTAATTAGAGGCAAATGAACTATCCTGTATTAGAATTTCTTTTTAATGCATGCGAACACTTACGTTTTTTTCAAACTTGTTATTTTCGTTGGTTTCATTTTATCGTTTTCATTTTCTGGTCAAACTTTGTTCTACATGTGTGAAGTATGTTCAGTGAGACAAGCGACGATTTGATAGACGACCTCCAAAAATTGACAGTATTATCATGGACAGCACTGCCACTGTCATATAATTCTCTTGTTAAACAGAATATAGTTGTCAGTCATTTTAATTCAAAACTAGATTGTATTTTCGTAATGTTTTAGATCTCATTTGTCGAAGTCGTGCCTTATAAGATATATAATTTAGCTTTTCTAAAAGACATTTTTATTATCTTAATTATCTATATTAAGTTACATTTGCAACTTAGTATCATCTAATATTTATATGATTAGCAACAATGAAGCGATTTTAGATTTTTTCATTCTAACAAATATATTTGTCAATTTTGATTGTATGCAGCGGTGTAGCTGAGCATGCAATGACAAATTTTATACGGCGGCTTCAGAGAGTTTTTTTTCCATGTCTAAGAAGTTGGAGAGAAAAAAATGCTAAATGTTTATTACATCACCACCTAATCCGGCATTTCATTTCATGCACATAGGAAAATACTTAGGCTCATCTCTCTTTGTTCAGTACCATCTTATAGTTCTGGACACATTGACTGTACTCTTCGTACGCTCGAAAATCTGCACCCAAAGCTGGCCTTGCAGACCCTGATATGTTAGTAAAGACTTATTCATAATATTAACAAAGTTTGACCATACAAATCATCATAGTAGTGCTGCTTTTATGCTTGCCGTTGTTGCTTTTTCGAGAGTTTCATTTTACTTGTATCTCTTGGCTTAATTCTGGAAAATGTTATAGCTTCCGGCAATTTCGATGCATTGGGTGGTGTCTTACAACCAATGAACAGCAATGGACAGGCAACAAACAATAACATCGGCGTCCAGTCTAGTACCAACAGCGTCCACAACAACAATCATCAAGCATCCAGCACCAACGGTGGTCTACTTACGGGCGATTTAGAATCTAGTTTGGCATCATTGGCCGAAAATCTGACCATTAATGATAGGAAACAGACAATAAAGTAAGTCTACATAGACCTACGAGTATATTTAATATTATTAAAAATACATCTTTCTATCAATATATTGTTTAGCAGTAGTACAGCCTAACGAGATATTGTCCATTTTTCAGAGGTGTCCAATGGAATTCTCCTAAAGGTAGTTCAAAACCCAACTGGACACCGCAACCTATGTCCGCCACCACTGGTGCTGGCTATAAACCCATGAATCAGCAGTCAAATAATAGTCCTTTCAGTACGCCACTGTTGGCTCCGCAGGGATCGCAATACGTCAATGTCTACCCACAAGTATCGCCTATGGTAAGTGTAGTTTAATCCTTCTTCTTCTTGCGGTGCCATGCCTGTCTTCAGGCGTTGGCAATCTCCATGACTATTTCGTGGAAGAGTTCTCTATCTTCTGCTGCATGAAATAGCCTCTCCACCCCCAGACCGGTCCAGTTCCGTATATTTCTGAGCCATGACAGTTTCTTTCGACCTACCCATCTTCTACTTTCGACTTTTCCTTGAATAATCAAACGAGGAATATAATATTTGGTGCCACGCATTATGTGTCCGAAGTAGCTCACCTTTCTGGCCTTGATGGTGGTTAACAGTTCCCGATCTTTGTTCAGCTGTCCAAGAACTTCCTCGTTGCTTATATGTTCGGTCCAAGAAATTTTAAGAATTCTCCGATTATAAATAGTTTATTTGAAAATTGTAAATAATTTATAGTTTCACCGTTATTATCACCGTTTGTCAGTATAGGTTCCTCATTCGTTGTGGAGCGACAACACTGACACATCACTATCGTCATGTAACCACATTTCAAATGCTTCCAGACGGTTGATTGTGGCAGCTTTGAGTGTCCAGATAGCTCCGTATAACATCATACTTATGTTTACTATTTTTTTTATTCATTATACGTTTCATAATTACCATAAGTAATTATTCATAAATGGTTTATATGAAAATGTTACTGTGAATATCCTTGTATATTTATCCATTAACTTAACAGTTCAAAAAGTTCCATGGTGACTTTGGACATTTCTTTTTTGACCAATGACAGAGATTTGGTGAGGTGTATAGAAGTAACTTAAAGGTTTAGTAATTTGTTAACACCTAAGCCCACGGCCACACAGAAAGTGATTTTTGCGCGTAAAGCGTCTTTTGCGACTAAAACAATAACAAGATTATATAGGAGTGGCCCGACAAAAAGCGTGTAGCGTTCGGCGTGTCTCGTAAAAGACGCAAATGAAAACAAATCAGTTTGTTTTGTGTAGCGTCTTTTGCGATTTCTAACATGAAATCCCGTCATAGGCAGACGTAATATTTAATAATACAATAAAAATAACAAAATAAAACACTAAATCACCACAATACACCAAAACACTTTTACTTTTACACTGGACGCGCGTTTCGCTAACCATGTTAGCATCATCAGCAGATGATTATAAACTAAAGTACAATCTACAAGTTGACCGTTTATATACTCGCTCAGTGGGCACCGAGTGGGCGTGGCAAGATCTAGCCAACCGAGTCAGAGCCCACCGAGCGTAACGTAGTAGGAAAAAGAACTTGAAGGAATTGGACCGTTGTCTCTGTTCATACTATCTTTACATTTATTAATTCTGATTCTTTCATGTGCATCTAATTGCCTGTAATTTGAGACTTGTTTAATTAATTTTAAATTATTAAGATCTATACAATGTTCTTTGTCAACAATATGTTCGGCAACGCAAGATTTATCCGGTCTACCATATCTTATCTGAGCTAAATGTTCTTTAAATCTAGTTAATATTGATCTTCTAGTTTGCCCAACATATTTCTGATTACAATCTGTAAAGATTGTAATCAGTGATTATATAAATAGCAGTATTATGATTAGTGATTGACATCTTGATATAAACTGTAGACCTGCCGCTTCTTTTGCGTGTTTTTAATGGATATAAATCGAAATAAAAGCTTCAAACGGTAAAATCGCAAAAGCGCTTCACACGCAAAAAACGCAAAAATCGCTTTCTGGTCTAATGTATTATGTTATAACCTACTAAACAATTGAAGGGTCCAGGGGAAAACATGATTTTTGCAAATTTCTTTAATTTTTGCGCCAATTTTTAATTTTAGGGTTTTATAATATTATAGTAAAAGATGTCTATCTCTATAACAGATTCATCTTTTGAAAAAAGTCCTATAGGTATTTCGCCACTTTAAGAAAATTTACAAAATAAACTAGTTATTTGTTGTAAACACTGGTGCGTTAATCCAACCGAGATTATTTGTTAGTAGTATTTGTTTGAAAAAAAACTAAATTTTTTTTGTGCGTCAGTCCATTGGTGTGCTTGCAGTGCGACCAATGGATCATTCCATTTTATATTTATAACCAAATATATATGTTTTGACAAGACTTTGACAGTTAAAACAATAAATTACAACAGATTATATATTGATTATTATATGACTTGAAACACCACGGCACTGGAATTAAGTTTTATGTAACCTTGAACAGATTAGTTCACATGGTAGCGACTGATGAATCACTCCCAAACATTCGTGGCGTTTACTATACCGTGCTGGCAACTCTTACTTTTGGGTCGGCATTTACATGTGTGGAAGTAAATCGCATAGGGATCTTATTAAGTCGGAGTGAGAGAAATGCGACCGACCGACGCGACGCGCGACGGTGTGCTGTTGCGGCGTTGCCGATACGCCTTTCTCTATGAAGTAAAGTAAAATCACGATCGCAAACCGCTTATTTTAAAATCATTAGGTTTGTAATGTTTCTGAGCATCTGAAATGGAATTATAAGGATATCGTTAGGGTGTCATTTTTTTATAACGAGAAAACGTCAGTAATCGCGATAATTTAAAAACTCAACTTTTAACACATAACAGGCCATAACTCAAGAACCACTTTAGATATTGAAACTTTTTTTATTTTTCAAGATCGGATATTTTACAATATGTTTACATAAGAAAAAATCGATAAGGTTGTTTTTCCATTCAAAAGTTTTAAACAATCCATCCATTTACTTTTAGAGCATAGCAATTTTCAGCAATCGTGTAATTCTTTTATTGATAAAGATTTTCACATACTGTCTACAAAGAAAATACAGCAGAAATATTAACAAAGTTCTTGAAAAAACTACAATCTATTATTTCTAATAGATTTCGAGATATCGATTTTTGAATTCAGAGTTCTAATAGCGCGACCACTATCGAACACCCACTCAATTCCACTTATTTTTACCAAAATTGCAAGTGTCTCTAGCTTGCACTTAAAAAAAATCAAGCTATAGGGAATATTACAACGACTCGTTAATAAATAAACAAATCAAGTATCACGAGACGTAATTAAATCGTGAAGCTGAACGCATGACGTACACCTTTCCCTAGAAGTACTGACAGAGGTACTGATATTGATTGGGTCGACCGGTCAACTGCGACAAATCTGCTATTTCCCCTTTCAAGTCTCTTAGCGGTGTGCACAGTTTCTCGGTTTATTTCATACGTTTGGCAACGTGTTTACTCTCTCTTTGTTCAGTACATTATAAACGCATTGTACTCTTCTTACGTACGGAAATCTCGACCCAAGACTAACCTTTGCCAGCCCTTAGTATACATACAGGGAAAGAACCTGATAACCACCAGCCGTCCAGTGCTCTCCTGTAAAATTAGTAAAATGGCGCTTATCATGTTTTTCCCCCGACCTGGCACGGTTTTGTTTCTTAACTTTAAAGTGAACTCTTTTATTACAGGGTTTAAAACCAATGCCACCCATGATGAGCCCTCTAAATCCGATGGGTTCCATACAGCCACAGCCCAACTCCCTCGGCGCCCAACAACAGCAACTTCTGTTCCACTGAGATTTAACAATGATAATTTTATTTGGTGTAAATAATCTGTTAATATATAATTATTTAATTGATGAATCGATAAGATGGAGATTACTAAGGCGAAGACGCAAAATTTTTCGTAACCTTGTTTTATGATATATACAGTGTGTTGCGAAAATTGCCATTGCGAAGAAATTTTCTGTAAAAATACCGAATTGAAAAAAAAAATCATACTAAAATTTGTCGATTTTGTGACATACTGTATGTAAGAAACTATTTCCAGAGGTTTTTTTAGGGCGGCCATATATGTGAGTTTTTTTGTATATATTATAGTAATCAAAATAGGAGATATATATTTTTATATATTTACCTATACCAGCAATATTTCCTGTTTTAGTAAGGTCATTTAATGATCATTTTCGTTCTTTTATACATATCATACATCTCACTTTTTTTGAAAAAGAAATATTGTCTTCTGTATCATTTAATAATAATCAGAGGAATATGTTCAGGGTACTCTGTATATAAGGAATATCACTAAAATGTAAAATAAATATTTTCATGATGGAGACCTGGAAAACAATTTTTAAAGAAACTGGAAGACAATAAATTAAAATACGGTCCATTTTTTATCCTATAGTACAGTGTGTCCTATTTTTGTTGTCCTTGTCAAAATGGTTCCAAAAATGCAACATTTTCAATTTTGCTATGTATATCATAAACAAAGTATGGTAATAGGACAGCGAAAATGAGAAACACTGTATACTGTGCGCGGTAACAATAAAAAATTCCCATAGAAGTTTGCCATATTATATTAAAGTAACGAGTGTTGAAACATTTTGATACATTTTAGCACGTTAAACCAATATTTTTTGCAAAAACATTTTTCATATTACAGTTATTTTTAGAACTTATTATATATTTGTTTAATGATATTTATATTTATAGCACATCGTAAATTGTATTGCTGTATTTTTTGTATAGAGCAATTTAGGTGTATCACAAAAGAAAATAAAGATATGAAATGTTAAGGACCCCTTTTTAATTTAAAAATACTTACATTAAATGTCGAACTAAAAGACGAAATCGTGTTTTTATGCAACTCCAAATAAAAAATATTGTTGGCCTCTGTTCAATATGATAAAAAACGGCGTCAGCGATGGTTATAAAATGAAGATCGTTGTCATTTTATATGTAAAATTATACGGGGATTGTGTGTGTGTGTGTGTGTGTCATCGATGTTCATTTCCAAGCCAACTGGACGCCATTTTTTTTCGATCATGCGGTATTATATACTATGTATTTATTATGATTATTAAATCCGGTATATAAATCCGATAAGGCTCTAAAAATATTAAATTGGTATTAAGGAGTCTTTAATAAATAGTATACAGATTATTAAGTGGACGGTTACTTATTGGGGAACAGAATGGCAACACTGCCTACATTCCAAATGAGCACTAAGCTAAGCTCCCGACTCGTCCCGTCGCGCGTCGCGTCGTCTCTCGACGAGCGGGCCGAGGTTGCCATATTTCAACCATAAAGCTCTGTCCGCGAGTAATAAACAAATTAACAACCTGTATATGAATTGGATTGATAATTTAATATTATTGGTAAAATAATAAAATTAATCCATTTACGCCAGTGACATAAAGTATTGAAAAACTGTAAATTTCTTTTTCTGAATTCTTTTCTTTTTCTTTTTCTGTTTTCTTTCGCCGGTAGTACTAGTATGGTGCCAGTTACGATTCTTGTTTTTTTGAAACGTAAATTGTGCATGGTTTGTTCAAATGAACGAATCGTAGGAGTCGATTCAATATGATCATCAAATAACTGTACCAATTAAAAAAGTATGTAATCTGGTTCACCCTTTGAATAAGAAGACTAAGGAAGGAGCATATCAAAAATCTTAGGTACACCGCGATGGGCCTCAAATATGGCCGACTTAAATTCCGGTTTATCAGTGCCGTTCTAATTTTATTTAAAAAATGTAAAACTATGATGTAGGGTAGACGTGGGGTAGACTCAATAATTTGTTATTTTATTTTACGTTGTGAATAAATGTTGGTAGTTATTAAAATTGTTATAAAAATATATAATTCTAATAAAAATACATAAGTTATAATAAGTATTTATTAACACAAACATCCGATACTCTACTGAAGCAGGTAAGTCAAATTAACGTATCAAAATTCTTTGACATCTGATCTTTGACAAGTAGTAAATAAAAGCTAAACTGCAAGAAAATATATAATTTAGTTAATTTAAGTGAATTTCATAAATGATCGGTTTACTACACGTATGTATATTATATAGTCACTTACTAGCGAAAAGTTGTTCCATTATTTCACTCAATTTTTGCCGAGATCTACCGCACGCTACACAACCAACTATTTTAGAGTATTTTTCGATAAATCGCGATAATGTCACTGTTAATTTAAGTTCTGCCACAATTTCCATCTACATTTACTACCTTTATACAACTATCAGTAGTAGAATAAATAATAAGTAACATAAAATAAGCTCCGTAAAGACTGATAAATCCACAAAATTTCAAATCAAATTCAAATGTGTCAAATGAATCGTCAAACAGAACTGTCAAGGATCCCCACCCTAGAGAGCTTTTTCCGCCACCATGCATGAATACATGGATAGCATTATGCTCCTTCCTTAGTCTTCTTATTCAAAGGGTTCACCTAATAGATCTTACACAAAATATATTTTTATTTCATAAATAACTAAATATTAACATACAAAAATAGTAATTCTTTAATAAAAAAAATTATTTACTTGTTTTTATATAAAAAAATAAAATATACAAATGGAATCGGTCCAGGTAGTCCCCTTTGATTGTCCTCAGCCATTGAATTATCCCGGTCAACCTGAAAGAACAATTAAAAGTAATTGGAATACCTGAAAATACTTACCGCCTAATGCAGAAATCTGTGCTGCTTGATGCTGCTAACATTGTTCGTTCCTTTCTAGGTGATTAACAATAGCACCTTATCTTGTCCCCATGGACCGATAAGGCAGCTTTAAACCTGTTCTGAGCAGTGAAAAAAAAAAAGTAAAATTGCAAACATAAAAGTTATACATGAAACCACAGTACATTAAAACATAGATATAAAACAAACATAGCATGTATAAACATCATTTGAGACGGAAACTAAACATATTTTGCCCAGAAGCGGGCGACGTCAATTGCGTCGACTTTGCTGCCATAAGGTCCTCTATAGTGCACTTGGCGGGGCACAGTGGGCAAGTATACATATGTTGGGTGGTTTGTAGTGCTCCACATTCGCAGAGGTTGGAGTCCACATGGTAGCCCCACTTGGCAAGAGTGTCTCTCGATCTCGCTGTGCCCGTACGCAGTCTGTTAAGAGCTCCCAAGTTTCCCAGTTTTCGTCGCTTCCTGGTGCCAATAGTAGAATAAATAATAAATAACATAAAATAAGCTCCGTAAAGACTGACAAATCCACAAAATTTTAAATTAAATTCAAATGTGTCAAATGAATCGTTAAACAGAACAGTCAAGGATCCCCACCCTAGAGAGCTTTCTCCGCCCACCATGCATGAATACATGGATAGCATTATGCTCCTTTCTTAGTCTTCTTATTCAAAGGATTCACCTAATAGATCTTACACATAAAATATATTTTTATTTCATAAATAACTAAATATTAACATACAAAAATAGCAATTCTTTAATAAAAAAATTATTTACTTGTTTTTTTATATAAAAAAATAAAATATACAAAATATTACTATAAGTACTGACGAAGATCTCACTGTTTTCCAATGAAATCGATACATTTAAACTTTAATTAAGTTATTCTAATACTGTAATAAATTATGGTTAACCGAAGTTTTCGAAGTGATGTATAAAATAAGGCAGTTTGCGTCCCATGTTGACCTCGTCGCAGGCTGACATGACGCTCTTGGTTAAGGGCCTTGGCCCACAACTGAACACACCAATTTTACTTACCTAGAAAATACAGTTATTTTTTAATTTATGTTTAATCACTAGCTAATCATTATCAATTATCTATTGCACCAGCCCATTAAATGATTATTAAGCGCATTTAATTAAATGTTAGACTCATTAGTACAAGCTTAGCGTCAGGTGTTTAAAAGATAATGTAATTATAAAAAGCTTATACAAGGAAATTAGAAAAGTAAGTGAACAGGAAAGTTAAACAATCAAAAAATGCTAATTTATGTAATTAGATGAATCGATTACGAGTAAATGGGAAAGAAGATATTTATAATTAAGAAAATAAGTGTCCAAATTCGCACTTGAAGATCATTTAATATGAAATTTCATGTACAGGGTGTATAAAAAAAATTAAATCGTTAATTATACACACGAAATTCTGCGCTAATTAAACTATTTGTGGGTTATGGGCAGTCATGAAAGAGATAGGTATTCTCCAAATGTGCGTAAACAACTGATTTGCACAGGTCAGAATAAGTAATAGAAAAACTGAAACCATCAATATATAGACTCTGGTCTCCAACCAGGAGTCCCACTCTCACGTTATTCAAGATCGCGATAGAATATTGTGAGAAAAGTAAATCTAAACCTAGAAACATATACAGGGTAGTCCGAACTCTATTCCGGAAACTTCAGCAGCGTATTCTGCAGATAAAAATAAGTAAAAATGTCCATATAAATGTATATCCTAAAATGCTTAGTTTCGGAGTTCACCCTGTGTGATATTATCCAAAGAGGACTCCGCATTGCTGAGAGATGGTGCAGGACTGTCGGGCTGAGTGTTAACTCAGATAAAACCGCAGTAGTGCCATTCACCAGAAAGCGAAGTTTGAAAAACTTGAAAAGAATCCATCTAGATGGAAAGGAAATACTGCCATCACAAGAAGGAAGAAAAATATCTGGGAATAACCCTGGATAGTAAACTTCTCTGGAACAGGCATATTAAGAACATCACCAGCAAAGCCACAAAGGCTCTCATGATATGCAGAAGACTGGCGGGAAATAGGCTGCGCCCCTAACATTTTGCGCTGGATGTATACTATGATAGTAAGACCCATGATTACTTATGGAGCAGTTGCTTGGTATACAAAACTAGAGCAACGTACAGCAAGGCAAAACCTGTGCAAAGTACAGAGACTGGCATGTATCTGCATCACAGGTGCCATGAGAACATGTCCAACAGCAGCAATGGAGGTCATTCTAGACCTAACACCACTGCACATTGTCGTCGGTAGTTATGCCAATGCGACAATGATTAGAATGGTTACTGACGGAAACAGTACTGGGAGAATATTCAGGTCAGGGGCTTGGAACACCCTCAAAAAGAAAATTCCACTTCTCCAACTCCCAGTGGATGACATACCAATAATTTACAACTTTGAGAAACACCTCACTGTAGTATTGAGTAATAAAAAGGATTGGAAGAAAGAAACGCTTACTCAGCATATAAAAGACCATACCATTACGTGGTATACTGATGCCTCCAAAACCAAAGCAGGGACAGGGATAGGAGTATTTGGGCCGAAAACTGAATACTCCGAACCAATGGGCACCTACCCCAGTATCCTTCAGGCTGAAATTTGCGCTATCGAAAGATGCGTACAATTTATCTTAGATAGGAACTATCGAAAACAGGAAATTGCCATCCTATCCGATAGTCAAGCAGCACTTAACGCGATCAACTCAGTAACCATCAATTCGATGTTGGTCAAAGAATGCCTAGAGAAGCTCAACAAATTAGGTAAAGAAAATAAAGTCCTCTTACTCTGGGTGCCTGCTCACCAAGGGATAGAAGGCAATGAAAAAGCAAATGATCTAGCTAGAAAAGGAGCGAACACTCCACTAACTGGACCAGAACCGTTCTGTTTTCCAAACGGGAACCAACTGAAAGCGGAACTGAAGAATTTGGAAGACTCCATCCGTAACTTGGAATGGGTGTCCTCCAACGGTCTAAGACACTCGAAAAAGTTCCTTAGAACTTATGACCGAGAAAAATCAAAGGTTTTCCTTGATTTAAGTAAAAACAATCTTCGGATTGTCACGGGGTTTCTAACAGGACACTGTCTCCTCAACGAACACCTCAGTAGGCTGAAACTGAGAAACAACGGCGAATGCAGATTTTGTGGAGAAAATGGGGAAACACCAGAATACCTTATTACTGAGTGCGCCGAGACGACAACCATTCGTGCCATAAACCTTGGTACGTCTGATGTCGAGGATGGAGAGCTGGCCTCTGTGGAGCCGTCTCAGATACTGGCTTTTCTTAAAGCCCTGAGACTGTATGATGAGTTATAACTCGTTATAACTCAAGAAAGGGGAACACACAATAGATTTATAAGGTCGCGGTGATTAACTCCCCTCCTAAACATTCTACATTCTAGTTTCGGAGTTACCGGGTGTTGAAGTTTCATTTTTATTTCGATCTTTTCCAAATAATTTCTGAAGTAACGTCAATATTTGGATGAAAATTGGTGTCTGGGAGGTTTTTGACACGAGAAATTTGATTTTGATGTCTCCTACTTGTAGAGGACGCCTCCTACATATTTTTTAGCTGGTTTGAAGAGTAATACCTTTCTTCCATACCTGTATAAAACTACTGAGTTAAAAAATATACATTTACAAGGTTTTTTACGTAGAAAAGTTCTCTTGGTCAAAATCGCTATGAGTAACGGTTCTCGAGATATTTGGAATCGAAATTATCAATACCTATCATCATTAACACAAATTAAACATGTTGACTAAATAGTTATTGAAATTATAAATTTGAAATGTTTTTTTGCCAAAAATTTGCAAAACCTCAGCGTTGTATTTTTTGTCAATAATGACATGTATTGACTATTTCCATTCTAAATATCTTGAGAACGGTTGCTCAAATATTGACGTTACCTCAGAAATTATTTGAAAAAAATCGAAACAAAAATGAAACTTCTACACCCTGTATCTCAGAAACTAAGCATTTTAGGACATACATTTATACGAACTTTTTTTCTTATTTTTATCTGCAAAATACGCTGCCGAAGTTTCCGGAATACAGTTCGGACCACCCTGTATAAGATAAAATGATACTATCGATAATATTTTTAACGTTACAATATAGATAATTTAACAATTTAGTAGAAATGTTTATCGTAGTAAGTTTACTTTCAGGGAACAGCATTTTTTTCGTCATCTGTTCGGGTCTAAGCTTCTCAGCAGAAACAGAAGGCCGTGGCCCAACATAGCTACACGCGTAGGGCGGAGCGGATAATAGAAGAATACGCGCTAATCCGCGTCTATATGTGGGGCCACTTCCATTTACTTCAATGCATTTGGAGCATGTGAACCACTCCACTATGTTTGTACACTTTCTTAACATTAAATACTTACATAACTATGTCTTTTTTGAACAAATTTCAAAAACGACGTCATATCCGGTCTTCCAAAGTGATTGACTGCTTTGAGACCAGTGAAAATCGACGTTTTTGACAATCTTTGGAAGTGGTTTTCACAAATATACTGTAAAAGAAAGTAAGTGAAACTACACGCATCTATTCACGAGGGCGAAAATATCCAAAGGCCCACTAAGATAACAGAAAAAATTATATAATTAATATATAAGTTCCAATAAATTATAAATTACATAAAACTACATTGTTTCAGAAATTGTTATGCTTCTTTTATGAAATCTTGTACTTACCAACATAGTAGTTCTTAAGTCGAATTTATGGAAGAACTGGGTGATAAAAATGTGAATTTCTAAAACATTCGTTACATCTTTCTTCTCTACATCTCTCAAAACGTCGATGAACCATTCAAAATGTTTGTGAGACGGACAAATCCACAAGAAATAAACCTGGAACATAAAAGACACTTTTGCTAAATATCTTTACAAACTTTTAAAACTGACAGAATGTTGAGTTGCAATTTAAAAGTATACCGCGCCTGCAACTCTTTCTTTTGGGTTGGGATTGACATGTGTGGAAGTGAATCGCTTAGGGATCTTATTAATTCGGAGGGAGAAAAATGTGACAGTGTGCTGTTGCAGCGTTGCCTAATATTATAGTGCTTATTAAGATGAGTTAAAAATTTTTGGTTATTGACAAAAGTTACCTTTTTACATGCTACTCCGGAATATCTATTTGTAGACGTTCCAAATACGAGATCGTTCAAGATAGAAGCGTAGGGCGTTACTCCGATACCCCCACCCACCATCACTGCTACTTCGAACTTGTACCAATCCTGATTGCCCCCTCCGAATGGCCCTTCGAGCAGGATTTTCGGCTGATCCTCTGGATTGTAGTTGCAAGGATCGAAATAGTTGCGTAGTTTCCATGTCCAGGGACCTTGTGAATAAGAAAAAAGAATAGGTGTTCAGTCACATAAATTTTGTCTATTCCCACAACCTTTTTGTTAGACTCAAAAAAAAATAAAGAAAAGTATATCATAACATCAAAGATTATAACCTTAAATTTTGAAATGTATTTTTGACGCAGAAAAACCAGACTATTATCTCCAATAACAGTGCAACATTAAGGCTTATTATGCTTAGTCAATTCCATTATAGTCACTCAGTATTTTTGTAACATAGACGATATTGTATACTCTGTATCGGGGTTTTAGAATATCTCTCTTACTTTTGGTTGCCCTCTGTTTTATTTTCTGTCATCTTAAGACTTTCACAGTCACAGAAAATCTACCTTGCTGTTGCTGATTCCTTCTTACCGAGTTTTCAGTGAGGGTTGTCTATCTCACATGCTTTTTTTTCTAGACTATGGTTAAAAAAAATGATAAAAAGTGAATCATAACATCATAAATTATAACGTAGTATTTCCCCAGAAACGTCTGTTTATTATCTCCTTCTAACAATGCAGCCTTAAGGCTTATTGTGCTTAGTTAATACCATAACAGTCACTCAGTAGTTTAATATTGTATAATTTATATATAATAGACGATATTGTATATTTTATTATCGTTTTTTTAGAATATCCCTCTTATTCTTGGTTATCCTCTGTGATATTTCCTGTCATCTTAAGATTAGTATTTCACAGTCACAGAAAATCTACCTTGCTATTGGAGGTTCCTTGTTACAGAGTCTCCAGGGAGAGTTGTCTATTCCCACATATTTTTTTTTCTAGACTCTGGTTAAAAAATAATAAAAAGAGAATCATAACATCAAATATATATAACCTTATACTTTAAAATATATCTTTCTCCATAAACTGACTATTATCTCCTGATATCAGTGCAACCTTAAGGCTTATTATACATTACAGTCACTCAATATTTCTGTACTATACTCTGTTTTTTTTTTCTCAGGTAAGATTTCGACAGACGATGACAGAAGAAAAGCAGATGACGTCCCATACCAATCTGTTTATTTTACTAAAAAAAGTTTCTAATAATTTTTAAGTTAACTATGGATGGGTTTAAATATAAATTCGTCATGCGTCGTCACTTGTTGTTTTTAACCAGTTTTATTGGTTTATTTCAAAAATGACAGATCGTATTTCAATATTATTGGTTTGACGGAACGATGAACGACAAACGGACGCATAGATAAATGCAACAAGTTTAGATTGGAAAGCCTGTAAAAATTTTAGGTCGCGAAATTATTTTGGGTCGCGACCGTTATACGCGATCTGGCGCTGCTATAGCGGTCGCTAAGAACAACGGCAAACAAAAACAGAAATAATTTTCTCTTGTCAAAGTCAGAATCTTCAAAAATCATAATAATCTTTCAAAATCTAAACCGCTCTCATTAAAGAAATTCCGAAAAGTGTTTATATAACGTCCATTTTCAAAGTAATTATTGCTATCTTGTGAGTTTAATTCAAGTTTTATTTACTCCAACCGGTGATAATTGTGAAAAAGTGGCATTAAAAACTTAAAAAGCTGTGCTGTGAACTGTGAACTGCAAAAACCATCGTGGATCGTGGCATAACATCGATTTCCAATGTTTCATAGGTATTTCATACATGCGTCCTTATATAAAATAAAGTTTCTTGTATGCAACACACTGTATTTTATTTATAAAATTAAACGAAAATAATAATAAATTTGAATAAACAATATTTGGCGATATAATTCCGGAAAAAGCCGAACCGCTCCGAAATTTTCAAAAGTTTTGGGTCGCGACCGTTGCAAGAATAGCGCCAAATAGTGTTTACATTGTCCTTATGGGCACTTTCCAATCTAAACTTGTTTCATTTATCTATGAACGGACGCCGATGCGTATGAACTCGCCTTTAGATTTTTGACGTTTGTCAAAGTCTTGCCAAATTATAGGTTATAATTTTGTGACAACTTTTGTCAAATACCCTGCGTTTTGGAAGATGATGCATTTTGATTCGTCTTATTACGAGTGTTTTGTGTCTTTTGAAGTCAAGTGGAGGAAAAATCGAGTGAAAATTAACTGTAGAACCCAGAGCACAGTTTATGGTTAATACATTGGTTAATACTCGCTGCCCAGGCAGAAAGTCTTATACAGATACACCAATAAAGTTACTATCAATAAAGTTTGTGTACCATCTCGTCGTAGATAAGTGCATCTCGAATATGGTAGAAGGACCATACTCTAAACACATACTAAAAACTGGAGTAGCTGTAAAATATCGACATCACACGATAGGTAAATAATGGATTTAAGTACTGCAGAAAAATAATGTCAAAAGGTACTGGTTTAAAAAAATTAAGATTATAGTTAATTAATCAACCTGTGAGGTACCTATATAAAATTTGGTAAGTGTTATTATTAATAAAATAGTTTGTTTTATTTATTCCTGCGGAATATTACAAATTTGTATTTGTACCTATGATTTGTACATAAGTTATATTGATAAATATAATCAAATGCGGGAAGTTTCATAAAGCTTGAAAGTAAGAAATAGTTCTTTTTTATATTTTTTGGTATGTGGTGTCTTGTTTTTGTTTGTTTTGTATTAACACATACCGTTTTTTTATTAAATAAAATAACTCGATTCATTTTTTCAGTTTTATACAGTTTTTTTCACAATATTTTGAAGTTACTTGTCAGTCAAATTTTAAATACATATATTAATTTCCTGCTATGCGTTCCAGTTGTACCAACTTATTTCTTTGTAAAATAAAATAAACTACTTTGAAATTAAAATGACAGACACATCTATCACTGTCAAGGATCTTCTCGTTGGACAGACTATATATATGATATTGTATATGTTCCTTGGTGCCTTTTTGGAAAACCCCCCTTTCTCTTGGTTGTCCTCTCTGTTATTTTCTTAAGATCATCTCAGTATCATCTTAAAACTAGTATTTCACAGTCACAGAAAATTATTCTTACTATTGATAGTTTCCTGTTACAGTGTTTTTTTGATGCGCTGTAAATCATTTGTTAGAACAAAGGTTAGAACAATAGTTGATGATTAAACTCCTTATCATAATTTTGCTGGAGTATTACTGCCATACCTACATCGCATATTTTTTTCAGAAAAAGAACATAGTGTTGACAGTTTGATACAAAAAAACGGCTTCAAGATAACTTAGAAATGCCGACCGATGATAATATATATAATATATAATTTTATATGTGAAATTTTGTTTGAGTTTTTTCATATTCAACGATTCATATTCCAATATGAAATAGATAGAAAATACAGATTACAGTTCTTATGGTGTAGCAGTATCCACTAAAATATATTTGATCTTGGAATAAAACACCCCCAACAAGTTTTAAGAGATAAAAAAATAAAAATATGGTATACTATTTCCAAAGTTACTTAGACTAGTTTGAGGCTTTTAATTTAGGCACTCTCTTTGTCTGCATCGTTTGAACTCCCAAACCAGTCCAAGTGACTTTGGAAACACTTTAAAGTAAAACGAAGAATTTTACCTTGTGCTTTGATATGGCATGACAAGAAGTTCTCATGTGGCGCTGACGTTAAAGTAAATGAATGAAACTCTCTGTCCTTAAATGCTGTACAAGTCAGTCTAACCCATTGGCCCGATAAATATTTCAGGTTGGGCGGTCGGTAAAATTTGATTTTGATGACATCTGATGGTAACAGGTCCGTCTCGAAAACGTCCAGTGGAATGTACCTAGTCCTCAAACTGACGACCTACAAATTACAGTTATCTATTAAATTAAAAGTTAATTCAATGAGAGTTTACAATAGAAGATATATCAAATAGGTTAATTAGAGACCCAAATATTCATGTCCAAAAGAATATTTTCAAATATTTTGAACTACTATAGCACGGAAACCTTTTTTGGCTTTGAGTATTCATTTCTATATTTTCTTTATTTCGTTATAGCATTGTTAGTTACCTTATCTAATGTGAATATGATACCAGGTCCGATAAAGAACATCCAAAATCTTGGAGGTCCAGTCAACCTGGCCAATCCGTGAATCAAGCAAAGAGCGTAGAGTAATACATACAGGCTGTGAGTAAACCAGAAGAACTTATAGGCCTTTTTTCTGATTGTGGGATGGGCGAAAACAACAATGATGCACATTATAATGAACAGAAGCACTCCAGTAATTCCTAAAAAATAAAATGATTATCGTACATTTTCATAAACAATTTTTCCACAATGGTCATTTTGGGAATAGAGCCACTAGCACAGGCACTTAAAAATAAAAATATATTTTCATGCTTTTGTAGCGCCGCAGAAGACCTCTGGGCCTATGAATGTCATTGGTGAGTTTGTTTGGCCATTTAATCTCAACAGATTTTAACTACAACTAGGAAGATAATTGTACACGCGCGTGTCTTTAAACCGGACCATCGTCAATAAGAACAAGCAATTCTCATTTTTCGTCTTTTTCTCAATAAAACATTTTCTAGAGGTGATATTTTCAGTAGATAGAACGAAAAACATTAAAAAAAAGTCAGCTTATACGAGATAAATATTATAACATTCTTATTATAAAGGATGTCTTACCTGTTATTGTTTGGAAGAGCCAAAAGCTTATTCCAGGCTTATAGTCCGAATTAAATCGAATTTCGTTGGTCAAGCACTTGAGATTCTCAATAGGTTGGGTAGAGACGTGGTAAAAATTGACAATGTGACCGACGGTATGCAGTAATGAGAAAAATAGACCTGTGCACGCTGCTATTTTGTGAAATTGGATATTGGCATCCAGTGGAATATACTGATGTATAGAAAATTCTTTCAATTTAGTTATGAAGTTCCTGCACATGGTGAGAAGGAGGATGGAGTAGCAAAATGACAGTGAAGCGGCTGAGCCTCGTGTTATCGCTATACCCACGCCCATTATGTGACGTAAATCTGTATGCTCAGCCATGAAGGAGTAGTCTACAAAAAATACATGTAAATTTCATTATACCGTACAAAAATTGTAAACCTAGCCATACACTTCGGTTGTTTTATGATTTCATCGCTTTCATCTGAATTGATAGATTGAAGATTACAATCTGAATTGATATTGATAGAATATTTTATTCATTCTTAAACGGTGATAGACGAACGGTAAATTTAATTTCTGTGATCTGTTACTATTGTTTATACCGTGTGTTTCAAATTCGACTCTCATTATTGGGATCTCAGAAAGGGTAAAAGGCTCAAATATGGGCTAAGATTCCGGTCGATGACAATTTGTTTAGTAATTATTCAACTTATCTTTGCCAGTCTGAAAAACTGAAACTTCGGGTTTTCGTTTTTATTTTTGTTGCGTGTTTATTTGACAATTCGAAAAAATTTATAACGTTCTCAGAGAAATTTTTTAATCTTCATCCTTTGAGGACGTGAAACACGACTTGCGACGTTTCGTTTTTCTGGAACCATCATCAACTATTGTTTTTAAATATCCAGGTGAATTTTTTTAAAGCTAATGAACTCCCAAATACAACGATGTATCACACCTATTCAAAAGTTTTTGTTTATTTATTGTACACCTAATTATACTGATCCGTATACTCACACATATCTCTCTCCAAGACATTGTCTCTTTTGTGTGAATATTCCTTATTATACATTTTTGAGCAAATGTGTAACATCATTAATTTGGGATGTCATAAGGTTTTAAAAAATTAAATAAAAATTGAGGTCCATATTTAAGATAGAATAAAGTTGATGATGGTATCTTGGAACGTCAGATCGAAAATCTAAGAACACCAGGTTGTAGAACAGGAAAAATAGCAATGACAGTATAAAGTTTGTATATATAAGTCATATCATTCGAATAGAGTAAAAAAATAAAAAAGCAATTGGAAAAATTCGGGTTTTCCCAAATATCTTCGAAAGTAATAGGATTTTTTTGATTTCGAAACACGTTATTCAGATTCAATATTGCGCATTTTTTCTCTAATTTCTCTCTCTAGTTTCATAATCTTGATGGGCAAATTGTGTTATGTATTATTATACCGGATGCGTCTCAAAAGTGTCTCAGCCCTATAACTTTTTTATTTTTTCAGATAAAGAAACTAGATTTGGTAAGTTAGTATATGACATAAATTAGGATTGATTGACGTATTCAATTGTTTTTGGTCAATTCCTGTTTCACCGGAAATGACTACCACTTTTGATTTTTAAATGACACTCTCGGTATTTTTTTACTTTGTTCGGTAGAAAATGACACTCTGAATAGAATGACATATCAAATATCAACTTTTGACATTTTCGCATATGGTTTATTTGAAATTGTAACTTCCGGTTCCCAAGAATTAGTGTTTTTAACACAGCCATGGCACTCTAGATTGAAATTTAAAATACAATTTTGTTTAAAGCGAAAACGTCAAAAGTTGACATATGATATGTCATTCTATTCAGAGTGTCATTTTCTATCGAATAGAGTAATAAAATACCGAGAGTGTCATTTAAAAATCAAAAGTTGTCATTTCCGGTGAAACAGGAAGTGATCGAAAAGAATTGAATAGGTAATTTATGCCATATACTAACATACCAAATCTCGATTTTTTATCTGGAAAAATAAAAATGTTATAGAGGTGAGCCACTTTTGAGACGCACCCGGTATAGAATCGTGCAGATTAAATCTTAAAAAAGAACCAAAGTATACGACACCCTTACAACACTCAATAACTCACGTATAAATCTTTCGACGAATAATGCAATGGTAACGACGTAAAATATAAATAAATAGAAAATATTCTGTCGGTTCTCCTCCAGAAATGTGGTCAGACTATCCCATTTCAACCTCAACCACGACTTTTCCGCATCGACGCTAGGTTCGATGTGGAAACTGGTCATCCTGGCCACGTTTGTTGAAGTATCGAGGAAATTTTGCTTAGCGCCCTTACAGTCCAGCCCTATGGCCACGAAGTCGCCCTTGTACTCTTTCATCATCTCCTTGAAGTCTTGGTAGGTCAGGTAGTTTTTGTGTTGGAGACCGGCATCCTAAAAAAAATTGTTAGTAAAAGGGTGTGAATCAAATTATTATGAAAATTCAAAAGTGTTGATAGGTATTTTTATTTTTTTTTAATTTGGACGGAAGTGTACAGTGTGGGTTAAATAGGACGCTTTTAAAGGGACGAAAACTAATACCTGTGTCTGAAGTTCAATTTTTATCAAAAACATGATGGTGAAAACCACACATCGATATCTGTAACCGTTTTGGAGTTACGGGGTGTTTTTCAAAAATGTGCATTTTTAACAAATCACTAACTTTTTTACTATGGAAATTTTTTTTATGGAAATATTTCCAAAACATCTTTTTACGCAGAATTTAATGGTTTAAGTAGGTATAATTTTTTTAAAATTAATAATTTAAAAATTATCAACACACAATTTTATTTTTTATAATATATACCCTGAATATTTTTAATTCATGGAAAGCATTTAAAATTACCTTTTAAAATTATAGCATACTCGATATTTTGATTGATTCTTCTTCGAGATATAGAGTTTTTAAAAATTCACCCACTTTGAATACGTAGGCTTTGAACGGCGCCGATTGTAATGCAAAAAAAATCTAGCTTTGAGCAGCATTTAAAATGAAAATAATATTTGCAATAAGAGATGCAGAATTTTATAACAATTTACACTATATTTAACAATATCAACACATTTAAACTATATCTATAAAAAAAATTAAAAAATTTAAACTATAACAATAACAATTAATAACAAACCAAGACATAAGATTTTGCTACAACAGGTGTTCGACATGTCGACCGTCTTCTGTTATGGACAGACGGAACCACGTTTGAACATTTCTCGAGGAATTCATTAACTCAGTAGGGGTGAAAGATACCCTCGCATAACCCCTAAGTACTTCTAATTCTTGTCTAGATTATACGAGCAATTTAAAATTAAGAAACTTTATTCTTCCGCAAAGATAAAAATCTATAGGCACTAAGTTCAGCAGTCTCGGCGGCCTCGACGGCCAACGGCTGGAATCTTGGTTAGCTATTCAATTATTCCCGAAATTGGCTGCAAAAATTTGCTGATATCTTCAGCGTACTGAGGTGGTGCCTCGTCTCGCTGGAAAAATATGTTTTCGAGTTCCATTAGGGGCAGATCATCAATAAGGGGTACAAAGCCTACTAGTTAAAAGTGGCGAACTTTTAAAAAATCTGTATTTTGAAGGAGACTATCTATAACAAAATATCCAGTGTGCTATATTTTTGGAAAGGTAATTTAAGTGCTTTATAGTTAATTAAAAATATACAGAGTGTCCCATATAAAAAAATCAAATTTTCTGTTCTGATAATTCTTAAAATATTAATTTAAAAAAAATTATACTTTTACCATTAAATTCGTAAAAAGGTGATTTCATAAAAATCTACCGAAAAAAATATATTTTCTACCAATTTTCATTCTTCCAAATATTTTGGTGTCATAGATATTAAAAAAGAATTTTGTAGTACAATTTGTACAAAGTTTCTAATGAGTTTCTAATGAGTTATATTTTCTTGAATCAGAAATACGACCAATGACATTTAAAATATTGTAGGGAAATTACCGTACCTATTATCAGGGAAAGTTTCGTTGTTTTATCGAGTGTATCCTTTTTATACTTATTTTTGTCTAGATATCCCTGGCAGTCGCAATTATTCCATTATCGGGAGAATCCATCAATATTTTTCAAAAGTTTAATATATTGGATACTAAACCGTCCATATAACTCTTTTTCTTAATGGCTTATCATTGAATAATAAAAAGAACCCTGTCGCATTAGCAAAATGTGTTCTGTCGTTTCTTCCCCAAATCCCCATCTTTGAAAACTATAAAGAAGACTAAGTAGAGCTTGTACGTTTTTTAGGAATCAAAAAGTCTAAAAATGAGTTTTATTAGTAGTAGTATACTTCGTTAGTAAACTTCATAACATTTTCATAAAAATACAAAGTTTTCCATAGCATAAAAGTTGCAGCGATTTGTTATAAATGCACATTTTTGAAAAATACCCCCTTAACTCCGAAACGGTAACAGATATCGATGTGCGGTTTTCACTATCATGTTTTTGATAAAAACTGAGCTCCAGACACCGATATTAGTTTTCGTCTATCTCCTATAGAACGGCGTTTCCCTTTAAAAGCGTCCAATTTGATCCACCACGCAGGGAGTGATCAACAGTTATTGAAAAGTTGACTATTCTGATTTTGCTCGTTTGGTTGGTAAAAGGTTCGAATATTTATCATCTGTGATCACTAGCTTATTTGGATACACATATGAATGTTTTTTCCTTGATAACCCTGTATATTTTTACTTAACTTAGTAGTTACTTAGTTACTTTACTTAGTACTTTTACTTTAATAGTTCAGTAGCTTTTTAAAAACTTACCAAAAACATGCCGTCTATCAACTCAGTGACGTGATCATCCGACAAACTTGTCGTCCTAGCTATTTCCACTAGAGATCGCAACATATCTGAAAATTCTTCTTTGTCTATGACACCATTGCGATCGTTGTCGCACATATCGAATATAATGCGCAACTTGTCTTCAGTCTTCCCTCGAGAGAACAGTACGACTGTATCCAAGAACTCTTGAAAGGAAATTCGACTGTCTCCATCTTTATCCACTATATTGAACATTTTTTTGACGAATACAGCGTCAGTTTTCATTCCTAAGGCACTGGCAAATTCTGCTTTTGTTAGTGATGTTCTCATAACGGTTACTACCTATAAGAATAAAAAAATATTTCTTACTATTCATAGATGTTAGGACTCGAACTCAGTCCACTCATACCATTTGCAATAAAAAAAATAGGCATCAGAGCTGGTTTGCAAATAAAATTATTGTTCCTAATAATGAATATTATTTCCTCTATATTATACCGTGTGTTGCATCACCGACCTGGACATAGGAAATCCCATGTAAATTTTAAAAATTATTAAGTTTTACCCATTTTATTTTACAGAAAATTTTATTTGAAACTATTTAAAGAACTCCTCAAAATGAAGCAAATTGTTCATTTTAAATGGTTTATACAAATTCGTTCTTGAGTTATGAGATAAAAAAATACTAAATTAGGCGAAAATTTAAAGTAATGCGGTCCTGATCAAACAAACATAACAATCACTGGTTATATCACAATATGACAAATCTATTAAGATTTTCTTCTACCCAGATCTGTCAAAAATAATATCAGCTATATTCTCTATGGCAAGTTACAAAAAGTACACTGTGAACATACAACAATCTTTTAAAAATCAAATATATTTCATAGATAAGCAAACATCCTTGAAAAGAAAATTTATTTATTAAACAATAAACAATTCACAAAATTAAGTACTTGTTAGTTATAAAATAGATATATTTTGTCCTATGTTCTTCACCCCTGCCAATAATTCTTGCTGTTCGGAATATTTAAATAACTTACAATTATGCTTCTTCAAATTCGCTAAGCAGTGGTACGATGTTTTTCCAAGTATTCTGGTACTTACTTGGTTTTCATATTCCACTTGTAACAGACTATTTAACTCATTTTCATTTATTATTTCTCCAGGATGCTCATCAATGTTAATCTTCTTTTTATTTTTTAGTCTTTAATAATTGTTCGTGTTGGAATTCTTCTCTTACATTTATAGTCTTCAATAACTCGTCTGACATATTTGGAAAATGTACAGAAAATAAATCCTTTATAGTGGAGTGCTTTAAGCCCTTAAGGGATACAAACCTCCGAAAACATTTACTGTGAACGAATTTTTATAAAACTTTTTGCATTGTATTGTTAATAAGATATATTACAAAGTTTATCCATTTAAATTCGTTGCTTTTACTTTAGTATTTAAATAAACACACATATACAAATGCATACATACAAGATGGCTCCGTATTCCGGAAAAGATCCTGTATCAGGATTCCTATTTGAGATTTTCACTCCAAACCTTTTATAAAATATATGTTTAATGGTAGTTCACATTCCAAAAACATTTTTATAGATATACAGAGTGAGTCAAATATATATCATTTATTTATTCGAGTTCAGTGAATTTACTATAAAATTCCGGTTCCAAAAATACCTTAATACCATAGAGTATACTAAATAGTCTTTGAATTATGACCACGTCCATGAGGACGTCAATTTAGACGTCTCAGTAACGACTTATTGTAAGTTTATCGCTAAGAAACAGCCGTTTGCCAGCTTTTCAAATTGATAATGAATTGCACTTAAAGACGGTAAATTTTAACTAACGGACTACAAGAAGAAGATTAAATGAAGCAAATTTTGTGTCAAGAAGGCCTGCTTGGGGACCAGAACTTACTAGATGTGTTGACCAGGCCCAAAAGCAAAGGCATGGACTTAATGTAAAAATTACGAAAAAATGTTAGTGCCTTCTTTAAAACCGAATATTTCCAACAAAAATAAAGCTAATGAGATGAACCAAAAATGAACCATCGCGAAAGGATGTTAGGTACATCCTTTCGCGAGTTGTTGAAGAAGATATTTAGACAAACAAGATTATACTTTTTAGGGATTCTAATGTTTTAAACTAAAAATGAGTACGATCTCGTACATAATACAAATATACACTAGCGGATATAAGGGAACAGACTAAGCATAATAAACACTTTCAGCTGTGGTAATATGCAAAGGCAACAATCAGGCTAGTCTAGAAAAAATACCATTTAAGTTATAACCTTTGAGGATATGATACGCATTTTATTGTTTAGTGCTCCCTGTTTAGTTTAGTGCTCCCTGATAGCAGTGTGTGGTACTTGCCATAAGTGCACGTGACATCGGAGGTGTCAATACTCTAAATTTACTAAATAATATAAAACATAGCACTTCAATTTTCCCTAATCGGTAGTTGACACTTCAAATAAATTTCGTACTTGTTATGGTTTTGATTTTTTTCTATATACATTTCAGTGCTTTTTTTGTATTTTTACTGACCTCTCCATCAGTTGTAGAATCACTTCTGCGTCTTCTTTCGCCGGGGCGTAAACCAAACGTCAAAGCATAGGCCTCCCTGAAAAAGTGTTCTAGTTTTTTCTCCCTTCGTTGTTTTGTCTCTGCTTTGGCCAGCATTATTTCTCTAACAACCTAAACACAAAAAACCTAAACTAAAGTCTATCCACTCTCGAAAATACGCAGGGGTTGCTATTACTAAAAATGATTTTTTTATGTTTCACACCTGTGTGAGCACTAAATTCTTCTTGTTGGAGTTCAAAAAATTTTCTAGTTTATTAAGGAACTTCTTTTTGTTGGCTATCGAATCGAACTCGAGTACCAAATCGTGATCTTTCGGTACTTGCAATAGAACCATGGGCTTCTTCACTGAGGTAACATCCAAAGATTCTTCTACCATAATCGGATCCGAACTTTTGAAATTAATACTACGCAGATTTTCACCCTTAAAAATAAAAATATTTTATTAAAACCTAAAAAAAATTCACTTACACAATACACCACACTAAAACACAAAATTGTTAGTATTTCTATAATCAGGTTTGCATCATCAGTAGACGATTGAAATTATTACAAAATTTAATTCAAATTTGTTTAAATCAGGGTTGAAGAAATGTGTTTTTTAAACAAAACGTGTATTTCATAGTTTAAAAACTCAGAGTTATGTAGGTCCCTCTATCTCTGACTAAAATTACTCCCCCCGTTTTTAAGGTTTTAACGTGATTTTTGAATGACTAGGAGCATGTATGTATATACAGGGTGTTTCAAAAAACATGTGCCATCTCTCGTGGGAAGATTTCGTAGCTACAGGGTGTAGTCTTAATATTTTTTCGATTTATTATAATTTTTTTCCAAGTACTTTTAGCGTTTTGAATAAAATTTTGAGAGTAAAAGTTACTATAAATGCGACATATTTTGAAGCTATAAAAGTGTCGACATTTTCATCAGGGACGTGCATGTGGGTTATCTCTGGAATATTATTCTAAAAAAAGGCATGTACGCCACTGACTTTTGTTAGCAAAATAGTGTAAGCAGTTTAATTCCATTTAAAAGTTGTCTCTTAATATTTTATCAATTTCGGCCTCCTTGATGTGATAAACGCCATTTTTTTAATTTGCCTTGATCCAAGTCTAATAGCAATAACTAAAAAAAAATTAATATCATCACCTTGCGAAAGTTTTAAATAAGTATTCATTGATTCCTCATCAAAAAATATGAAAAAAGTACCTATAAATATGGGTATGGAAACGTATAGTTTTAGAGTTACAGGATGCTACAGATTAAATACCATTATTTTTTATTTGAAATTGCTGTAGTTTGGACTAATAGTAATAATAATAATATTTAATAATAAATTGGGTAAAATATATAATTTATTAATTTTATTTTTATTTTAATTTCATTAATAGTGATTAATAAAATAATAAAATTGTGTTTATCTCATCAAGGATGCCGAATTCAACAAAATATCTAGAGATGACTTTTAATTGGCATTAAACAGCCTACTCAATTTTGATATAAAAAGAAAAAATCAGTGGCGCACATGTTTTTTGAAATATTCCAGTGATAACCCATATGTACGTCCCTGATGAATTTATCAATCCATTTTTAGCGTTAAAATATGTAGCACTTATAGTAACTTTTATCCCCAAAATTTCTTGCGAATCACTAAAAGTACTTAGAAGAAAATTATAACAAATCGAAAGATTATTAAAACTTTAACACCCTGTACCTACGAAACAAAGCAGAATCGGACCTATGTTGATCCGAAAAATAAATCTTATTTTTACGTGAGGAATCTCCCCATGAGAGATGACACATGTTTTTTGATACATCCTGTATAATCTAAGGTTTAAAACATTCTTATTATTTTAAACAAGATTTTAACTCCAAAATCGGGATTATGTTAAACCTTCTTTACAAAATTTGAATCAAATATTCTGTTTTAAACTAACTAGTGTAGATGGCATTAAAAATTAAGAATTAAAACTAAAAGAGTTTCTGAGTTTTTTTTCTCCATTGTCTTACACAACGTTTCGGTCAGAACTATCACTGACCGTTATCAAGTGTGAACTCTGATGTGTTATAACCAAACCAAACCAAACTCTTTTAGTTTTAATACTGAATCATTGTCTACCACATTTAAAGTAACAAAATTAAGAAGTCGGGTAACGTTTTCGACAGCGGCGTGCGGTCCATGGAAGCGGGGGAAGCACCACTTCCCTAAACTTTTGAAAGATAAAAAAATAAATAGTTAAACGTTAATAATACTGTTATTTTATAACAAAACATTAGTTTAATTTGTTAACATTTTTTATTTGAAACCTTACATAAACGTAGTAAATTTAATTAGCCTTTAACTGCATGGATGCGCGCCTGGAAATCGCCGCCGGTCGCCTATGACTCCTTCATCATGTAGGTGTTATTGACCTCGAACGCAAACGACAAATTTAAGCCGGAAAATCGCGCACAGTTGCTAGCCACAGTAGCGATCTTTCGGCCGCCTTCCGCCACTTTTAATTTATAGGGTTGGGTTCGCTTGCGATTTTATAGGTAATATTGTATTTTCTTCGGATTTAACTTAGTGTTTACTGTTTCGTTTTTAATGGAGGGTCAAGAAGGACAATATTCTGCTTCTGCTAATGTGGACAATAATTTAGACGGTGTTTGTGTTGTATGTGTGTAATTAAAAAAGGGATTTTCTAGTCGGAACTTCCAAGAAAAAAGTGACATTATTAAGTCAGGCCAACGGTTCCTATCAATTTAGACACCAGAATGGAGAAGTCGGTAAAAAGATTCACTAGAGATTTTCATGTTGGGTTTTACGACAAATATGAGTGGTTAACCAGCTAAATTATCCAAATTATTTTGTTGGCCCTGTTTACTATTTAATATAAGTGAGAAGACTAATTGGAACTTAGCCGGGATTACAGATTTAAATAATTTTCACAAAAGTGTAAAAAGGTATGTCAATACTAAAGGACATTTAACTGCTACTATAAAAGAAAAAACTTTTGGAACAATTCGAATTGAACATAGTTTGGATAATCAATTAAAAATTAGTAGCAAACTGCATAATGAACGGGTCAAAAAAAATCGTATTAATAATATCGTATTTTAACTATTATAACTTTATGTGTTTTTGTTTGTTTAACAATTTTCGATAGAATTTTAATCGAACAATGGAATTGGCCTCGGAATTTTCAAAGTTTCAAAAGTTTTTGTCTCGAAATAGGGTTTTTTACCGATTCGCTTCCCCGCCTATAATTGTCACCGCACGCCGCTGGTTTGCGGCAAAGCTTTTTTTCGAATTTTAGAGAATTTAATGGTACTCCTGGGAGTTATAGCGCAGAATTATGAAGAAGTGATTAAGTACTATGATTTTTATGAGTTGTTATCACAGTATACTGTTTTTTTCCAGACAATATTAGATTGAGGTGATAAGACAGGTTTAAAACACGTAACGGTATTTTAAACACCTATAAATAACTTATAAATAACAGCACAGTACACAACAAAAATAAGTATAGGGTGTACCTTTCGGCCAATAATATTAATCACAGCCTCTGGACCAAACTTGACTTTTACTATTCTTTTGTGGTTGGCGTGGAGCCACTCGTGCACCACCATCGTATCAACTGGTAACTTGCAGTGTTTAGCTTTCAGTTCTTCCTGTTTTACTTTCAGTCTTCGCCGGCGTCGGTTTTGAAGTTTGACAACGCCGTACCCCGCTCCGGCGCATAAAATAGGAACAAAACCGAGAAAAACACAAGCGTAGATGTACACCAGTTCGTTACCCTAAAATATACAGTATGATCAAATATTTACAGATATATATTAATTTTGAACTTATAAAAATAGATCTTTACGACGATACCTCGAAGTAATCATGCCCGATCATCATTTTGCAAGGTTCCATAGCAGAAACATTGAGTTGCATAGGTTGAGGACATGGATCGCCATCCTTCCAGAAAAATACGTTTTTCTGGATAGCAGAAGGGGCGACGTTGGTGCTGTTCACTATCACGTCCCACATAGTAATTTTTCGCAATTCTTTGATTTCGGACTGTGTGAAAATACTGAAAAATACAAGTTAACTAGAGGGGGTTGTTATTGGCTATATTTAACCAGCTGTTATTTTATAACTGTTATTTTCTAATACTTTTTAATAACTGTTATCGATGTATAGCGTTAAATATTTGAGATGATTAATAAAGAAAACTATCGATAGGTCAGTTATTTAACAATATGTTATTTTGTAACTGTTATTTCATGTTAATGTTTAACAACTGTTATAGTTGTAAAGGAATTACTGTAAGGTAGTGAAATTATTGGAGAAAATAATTCTAGAGAACAACACGGGTTATAATTTTTAACAATTGGGTATTTTATAATTTTATTGATATTTTAAAAAAAATTAACAGTTTTTTTAAAGATGTAAAGAAATAGCAGCTCTTATAAGAAAGGGTCTAATATATAAAGGGTCCTTATAATTATCTGTTTATGGGGGATACTTAATACCGGAAATTCTAGATATTTTGTTGGCGTTATTATATCAGATAGCTATTCTACAGTCTCTTTATTTTGCCAAATGTCTTTTGGTTTTGTAAAAATTTTGTTCCCTCTTCGCTTGAAATTGGTGTAGATACCCAGTGAGCATTTTATTCCTTTAAGGGAAATGTATTCTAGGTGACGTCGTTGTTACGTTACCAGGCCCTTCTTGTGCCTGATATGAAGCAATAAAATGCAGGTACGTAACTATTCCCTAATGTTTCCTAAATGTGACATAACTTTGCTCACTGGGTAGTAGATAGATAGTAGATATTGATGTAGATATATGTCTAATTTTGGGTGTTATTTTATATAATCCTTTCAATTTTTGAAGCGTAGATCGGTGCAGAGATATAATTTCTGCGCCTATTGTGACGTTTTTTTTTATTCAATCAAACAAAGAAAATAAACTATTACAAATTGGTAATACAATATATAGCTTTGTTAATTTTTACACTCCAGATTATTAAAAATACTGTACTTAACACAATTATTAACTATTTAAATCAATTATATGAAATATTTAGTGCGGTGAAGGCAAAAGCAGAAAAAACGGATGCAGAGTAAACAGTTATTTTATAATAAGTGTAACAGCTCGAACAGTTACTCAGAAATAACAGTTTCCCATTTCTATTCATAATTATCGATACGCCTAGTATTAAAATATCTTACCCACTTGCTTCGTTTTCAAACCAAAATCTGTCAGAGTCTCTTAATCTGGCAAACTGTTCCTTGATCACGGTTCGGAACAGTTCCCCAGGTTGTCCGAAACTCTCCAACATGCCGCCAACATAGACATCTACATTGTTGAGATTGTTAGAATAAGCAGCTTCTAACGTTCGGAGCAATTCCGGCTTTTCTTGAAAGAGTTTGGGATTGATGTCGGTCCAGTTTACGATTCTGGATAGGCCATAATGTACGCGAACCTATAAAAAAATAATTTTTCAATTCGACTCATTTCCCTTCTTTAAGATAGTACAATTAATTTACAATATGTAATGACTTAATGTAAAAATACACAAAAATGCCTTCCAATTGGTGCAGAATTATCTAACGTAAAAATGGAAAATGAAGAAATAGAAGCCTGTAGTGACTATAAGTACCTGGGTGTGAAGTAAATATGACAAGGAGATTAGAAAATGAATAACATAAATCAAAAGAGCCATTAGGTAGCTGTCTTAAAGACGTATTTTGGAGTAACGAAGTAGGAAAAAAATGGAAGGTTAATATACAGGGTGTTCCAGAAATAAGTGCAAATATTTTATTGTAGTATAGTTCGACTTAAGAAACACGCCATGTGGTCTTTTTTTGCGAACAAAGATTGTTGAAAATTGTTGAAAATTTTACATTTTTCTTGACATTTTCCTTGACATGTATTATATTCTTTAAACTGTGGTAGAACTAACTTATGACTATCATAAACCTACCGTATTATAATCAGGCAAGCCGTTATCTCGCCCTCTCATAATATTCAACGCTCCCAAATCCCTTCTAGAAAATTCCATCGGTCCAAACAACTTATCTCTTATGTCAGAACAAAGTACTGAATCTTCCCTCTCTCCCAGTTGCGATGTCATACCCATCAGCAATTCCTCAATGGAGTTCTTTGTTAAAACATCCTGTAATATTGGTTTTATTAAACAAAATCAAATTATATATTTCAATTTCATGAGAAAAATAATGTGATGGTTAAATGACAGTTGGATGTGTTACTATTATTTAAAAGTTTTATCTTAAAACAAGTTAAAATTAATGAACAACAGTTTATTAATTTTAATCTTAAATGATAAGACATAAGAGTCATAAGACATAAAAATCGAGTATATTTTAATAAAGATTAAGTAGTCAAATTAACATATAAAGGTAAAATCAGTATGTCCAGCTTACAACAACTGTTACAATTATACAACGGAAACTCTTCATAATGAATTGTCATCTGAAATTCATTAAACAACAAGAAATTGAATAAATAAGACCATTATTTTTATTCATACTGTTTTCAGATTTCGATTACATTTGAAGACTACAGGGGAAAACCGATCTAAGTCACATTTTCTTACTTTTGAGATAAATGATTTTGAAACTTTAAAGACTAAAGGAAAAGAAATAATAAAATGTAGCGAATCGTAAGAAGTTTTTATCAATAGTTATATGTACATACATTAACTGATTAACAGACAAAACAAATAAAAATAATTCGTAGCAAATTTGTTAGATAAAATAAAACTCGTATTCGCTTGGTTCAATGGAAAAGTGATCCAAGTCCATATGGAATAATTCTGTATGTGGTTACTCCGAGGATTACTCGTGGAATAAAGAGAAAAATATGTTTTTATTCTCATTTTTATTATTAATATTGTTATATTTTCTTAATATTTTTTTATTTATTTATTATTTTTTTATTAATATTATTTGACAATTATATTATATATTATCATTAAACAACAAGAAATTGAATAAATAAGACCATTATTTTTATTCATACTGCTTTCAGATTTCGATTACATTTGAAAACTACAGGGGAAAAACGATCTAAGTCACATTTTCTTACTTTTGAAATAAATGATTTTGAAACTTTAAAGACTAAAGGAAAAGAAATAATAAAATGTAGCGAATCGTAAGAAGTTTTTAGCAATAGTTATATGTATAGACATTAACTGATTAACAGACAAAACAAAGAAAAATAATTCGTAGCAAATTTGTTAGATAAAATAAAACTCGTATTCGCTTGGTTCAATGGAAAAGTGATCCAAGTCCATATGGAATAATTCTGTATGTGGTTACTCCGAGGATTACTCGTGGAATAAAGAGAAAAATATGTTTTTATTCTCATTTTTATTATTAATATTGTTATTATATTTTCTTAATATTTTTTTATTTATTTATTATTTTTTATTAATATTATTAGCATTAGATTATTTTTTACTTAAGAATGGCGATTTGTTTCTGATAAAATGAAACTACACTACTAGACAGTTATCTATGGTTCCGCTAGAACATTTCCAGAATTTAATTTCTTTGAATTTAAAACTAGTGACACAATAGACATAATCAGACTTCTTTTCTTAGGCAGAAAGAAAAGCAATATAGTTTAATTGATATTACTCACCATATCTGCATCGTTTAGATGAGCATTGTTTGACGCACAAGGCAAATTTGTGTAGTAGTCTTGCAGAGATTAATCTACGAATTTTTTCAAAGATTGTAACTGCTCATACTTGAGTTTGGGCAAAGGAATTAGGTTAGCATAAAGTTGTTGTGGTGCTGAATATATAGCTATTTTTATTCGTTTTGAATGCGTTGATATGTTTGGAAACATGAAATATGGACTTGGATCGGTCTTCCGTGAATTCACGTGAACTTAGATCGCTTTTCCACAGTATTAATATTTTAATCGCTGATTTTAGTGAACTTATGCCCACTTGCACTGTTTGTATAAACTTTGATTAAAGGCTAAACTGTGATTAACTATTATAAAATATGTATAGTTAATCACTGTTTAGCCTTTAAACAAAGTTTATACAAACGGTGCAAGTGGGCATTAGATAATTATTACTGTGTTACGTTATTCCTATTTTGGAACGAACACTTGATGGGCATAAGATGGCAGTGTTACCTCAATTTCCATTTTTTTGGACTTTGTCCGTTTTTCCCGTGTAGTCTTCATTTACTTTAATGTTGTCATAAATATCTAATAGCTCTTAAGCAACTCATAATAGAGTTATTTCTAATACAACAACAGTTAGTATTATTTAAAAATAACAACATAAAATAACAAGTATTTATTGATAAAAAAAATCCGAATGCCAATAAGAAGCAAGTGTATTTTACATTTTTAAAACAACAGTACAGACACCTTCATCATTTGATACATATTCATATTCACTACATTATGATTATTATGACTTGACTTAATTTTTATCCTACAATCCGGTAACAGTAACAATAAGTAGAAAAATAAGTAAAAAGGTAAAATCAATATGTCTACAACTCTATAAAAAATATATACTGTTATTTGCTTTATTCGAAAACAAAAAGTAATAGCGACTCACTTATCCCAGAGTCTTGTAAAATTTCATGGTTCGTATTTTCATATCTGTTATTTTGTAAAGAACTGTTTCAAGCCTAATAATAAAGTTCGTAGCATAACAGTTCCGATGTCACATCGGAGCAGTTACTGTCATGCGACTGTTATTTTTTGGAACAATTATAAGTCATTGCTGTCAGCGTACTGTTATTTCTGTGACTGTTATTTATTGAAAGCAACAACTGTTGAAAATAGGAAAAAAGTATGTTTCTAAGTTTAACATCATCTAAATCTACTCATGATCTTAGTGAAATGTGCCTATAAAAATATTTTGGATTATTGTTAATTTCATTTTGTATGACCATGATTAATAACGATGCGAACTATGAACGTTACCCTATGACATAATGATGAGGAATATCTCTACTAAGGGCTGGCAAAAGTTAGTCCTGGGTCGAGATTTCCGTATGTAAGAAGAGTACAATGCGTTTATAATGTACTGAACAAAGAGAGAACAGTAAACACGTTGCCAACGTATGAAATAAACCGAGAAACTGTGCACATTGCTAAAGGTACCCATTCACGTTCAGTTGGCCGGCCGATTATCGCCGAACTGGCCGATTTTTTCAGTACACACGTGCAGGTAGATCACAGGCACTAACCTGCCGTTTTCCGTTTGTTGATAAAAACCCAGCGTGTTTAGTGGTTCGCCGGACGATAGTGGACTGCCGGCACAATTTTAGTTTGGCTAAAAATTTTATTCTCCGTTGAGTTCAGATAATCAAGAATATAGCCAATCAACCATCTTTCAAAAAAGACTTCATTGAAATTTACCGTAAACATAAATGTTTATGGCAAGTAAAGAGCCCTGCATATGCCAATAGGTCTCTTAGAAATAAAGCATACGAGGAGTTATTACTGCTATTTAAAACAGTAGATAGCGAGCCCACTATTGATGTCGTCAAGAATAAAATAAACAACATAAGAAGTGCGTTCCGAAAAGAATTAAAAAAAGGAGTCAAAAAGAAGTGGCACGTCATCAGACAATGCGACTGAATACGGCGACCAGTGGCGACCATTACCGTATCCTTTTTGTGATAGGCGGTTTAATTAAATTTAGTAAAAACTGAAAACACTCGTCGTTCATTCTTAATTAATTTTTTCATTGAGTCATTTGCACTTGAATATTTCGAAGTTATTTTATAAGTTCCATGTGCGACAAAGTACTACGTTTTTGCAATCATTCTTTCACCCAAATTTTCTTTCTTTTTCTTTTCTTGTTCTCGGTTGTTATTATCACAAGGGCAGCAGCACACTCTTCTTGTGACAAAGTCGATCGTAAACTGAATGTGTGTACTGAAATAGGTATAAACGTCCAGAAAATATCGTATCCGGCCACGAACTGAAGGTCAACCACCAAGTATTTAACTGTATGAGTGTATCGAGTTATGTCTATTGCCGACCGGCAAGGACGGACAGTCCTGGAACTGCCGGACAACTGAACGTGAATGGGTACCTTAAGAGACGTGGAAGGGAATATAGCAGATTTGTCGCAGTTGACCAGTCGACCCAATTAGCACCTCTGTCAGTAGATACTTAAAGTTCTAGGGAAAGGTCTACATCATGCGTTCAGCTTCACGATTTAATTACGTCTCGTGATACTTAATTTGTTTATTTATTAACGTGTCGTTGTAATTTTCCCTATAGCTTGATTTTTTTTAAGTGCAAGCTAGAAACACTTGCATTTTTGGTAAAAATAAATGGAATTGAGTTGGTTTTCGACTGATCGAGCTATTAGAACTCTGAATTCAAAAATCGATATCTCGAAATCTACTAGAAATAATTGATTGTAGTTTTTTCAAAAACTTTCTTAATATTTCTGCTGTATTTTCTTCGTAGACAGTAAGTGAAAATCTTTACCAATAAAAAAATTACCATTTCAGATGCTCAGGAACATTTCTAATGATTTTATCTAGTTATCTTTTCGAAAAAAAGTCTTTTAAAAATAAGCGGTTTGCGATCGTGATTTTACTTTACTTGATACGGAAGGGTGTACCGGCAACGCCGCAACAGCACTCCGTCGCATTTCTCTCACTCCGACTTAATAAAATCCCTATGTGATTTACTTCCACGCATGTAAATACCGACCCAAGAGTAACAGTTGCCAGCACGGTATATGTCAATATCATACGTAAAAAGTTATAGTTTTATACCGATCTTGTTATCGAATAAACTGTGTGGTCTGGATTTTAACGTGTCAAACAGTAATGTAGGCAGCTTAATGTAAAAGCAAATGTATAAAAAAGATATAAAAGTTAACATAACCGCACAATTAGGCTTTTAAAAAAATGTTGTATCTAGGGTTTGAATTTTATTTTTCACAATTAGTTACTAATTTTACTACAGCTATATATACATATAGTATATTTAGCTTAAATATATTATTTTCATTTCGTTAGTATACATGAAAGTTTTTAAAATAGTTATTTATATTTATCTCTGTAGTATGCGTATTGGCATGTCGCATGCGTCGTAGTTTCGATGACCAGATCGGTACACGAAAGTATAAAATAATCGAGAAGTGGCGTTATAACACAAATTTTGATTATATTTATTGGGTAAACTTACGTTAGAATCCCACCATGTAGCGCACAATCTCAATGCCAAATGCCCCATCGGAGTTTTTTTAAAGTTACATTTGGCATCTCTTCTATAAAGTCCCGGAGGAATGAGGGAGTGTCCAAACCTAAAAGCTGCACTTTGGAATACGTGAGTTATTCCAGGATGGACGTTCTGTTGGTAACCTTCGTAATTTGGTAAAGATTCTCCTAAAAACGCTGGCAGGTATTCGTAGAGAATGATGTTCTGCAATAGAAGAGGATGAAAATTGAGGCTATTTGCATTAAAAACAATTACAGTGTATTAGGGTGCACCAAAAAGAAATAATTTTTTTTTCTTAGTTACCGTGAAAATATCGTTCCTGACGTCCTGACGATGAAAAAAAATTCTGGTGTAGTTTGAGCTTTAGTAGTCATTGCGGCACTTGAGCCACACAGACAGCCAGATTAGGGTTCCCAACCGTCCCGTTTTGGCCGGGATTAACCAGGAATCAGAAAGTTTGTCCCGGCGAAAGTTTTGCCTTGGCCGGGAAAAAATGTGTACTACACACTACTACTACACACAATATAATATATTTTAATTTCTAATATTTAATGTTTTGTTTCAATTATTTAAAAGCTTAAAAATAATTGTCCCGGAATCGCCGATGCTCAAGTTGGGAACCCTAAGCCAGATATCCGATATGGATAAATAGAAATGTGACGCAAATCAGGTAAGAACAGTTAAAATACGTGAATGAAGGAGAATAAACAGGTTTGAACCGCATTGAACCGCTTTTGAACTGCTTTGAACCGATTTTCAACTGTTAAAACAGACCTGTTAATTTTTTGTTCAAACCGGTTTATTTCTGTTTTGACGCGGTTGTTTCCTGTTTAAACCTGTTTATTCTAGTTCATTAGCGTATTTTAACTGTTCTTACCTGATTTACGTCACACATCTATTTATCCATATCGGATATCTGACTATCTGTCTGGCTCTTTGAATAACAAGACTAAGGAAGGAGCATAATGCTATCCATGTATTCATGCATAGTGGGCGGAAAAAGCTCTCTAGGGTGGGGATTTTTGACAGTTCTGTTTGACGATTCATTTGACACATTTGAATTTGATTTGAAATTTTGTGGATTTGTCAGTCTTTACGGAGCTTATTTTATGTTATTTATTATTTATTCTACTACTGATAGTTGTATAAAGGTAGCAAATCTAGATGGAAATTGTGGCAGAACTTAAATTAACAGTGACACTATCGCGATTTATCGAAAAAGACTCTAAACTAGTTGGTTGTGTAGCGTGCGGTAGATCTCGGCAAAATTGAGTGAAATAATGGAACAACTTTTCGTTAGTAAGTGACTATATAATATACATACGTGTAGTAAACCGATCATTTATGAAATTCACTTAAATTAACTAAATTATATATTTTTTTTGAATTTTAGCTTTTATTTACTACTTGTCAAAGATCAGATGTCAAAGAATTTTGATACGTTAATTTGACTTACCTGCTTCAGTAGCGTATCGGATGTTTGTGTTAATAAATACTTATTATAACTTATCTATTTTTATTAGAATTATATATTTTTATAACAATTTTAATAACTATCCAACAGTTATTCACAACGTAAAATAAAATAACAAATTATTGAGTCTATCCCACGTCTACCCTACATCATAGTTTTACATTTTTTAAATAAAATTAGAACGGCACTGATAAACCGGAATTTAAGTCGGCCATATTTGAGGCCCATCGCGGTGTACCTAAGATTTTTGATATGCTCCTTCCTTAGTCTTCTTATTCAAAGGGTGAACCAGATTACATACTTTTTTAATTGGTACAGTTATTTGATGATCATATTGAATCGACTCCTACGATTCGTTCATTTGAACGAACCACATGCACAATTTACGTTTCAAAAAACAAGAATCGTAACTGGCACCATACTGGCACTACCGGCGAAAGAAAACAGAAAAAGAAAAAAAAGAATTTTACAGTTCTTTCATTTGTTTTTCAACTTTATGACACTGCCGTAAATGGATTAATTTTATTATTTTACCAATAATATTAAATTATCAATCCAATTCATATACAGGTTGTTAATTTGTTTATTACTCGCGGCAAGAGCTTTATGGTTGAAATATGGCAACCTCGGCCCGCTCGTCAAGAGACGATGCGACGCGCGACGGGACGAGTCGGCAGCTTAGCTTAGTGCTCATTTGGAATGTAGGCAGTGTTGCCATTCTGTTCCCCAATAAGTAACTTTAGATTTTTTGTAAAAATCAAGATATATTCTTGTAGTAAATTGAACGGTTTTCAAAAAAGGTCTGATATGAATTTTCATTTAATCGATTTGCTTGAAAGTTATTGAAGGTTAAAGTTCAACTTCAAATCGTATAATATAATACCCTCCACAATTTTTTATATTTTATCACGAAATAATGGCTATATTATATTGTTAGCAATGACTAAAGAATCCAAAGACAAATAACACCCGGGAGCAAATTGTGCCGATGTCACCAAACAGTGCCGTGGCACATATTTTTCTTAACCTAGCTGTTTGTTGAGATATTATATTTTTTGATAAATGTTTTGACTACGCCTATGGTGTATACGATGGTATCATACCAATTAATTACGAAAAAACGTATTAAAATGTTAACAAAAGGTACAAAACTAGTATCGACGTATATATAGCACACATCAAGTACATATAATATCAGAAAATAATTATCGAATTCAATAAGAAAACTAAGAAAACGCTAAAAAGGTGGAGCGGACTGTTTATTTACCTATGAAACGTAACTCCTGGCTCTTTCTTATGGCTGCTGCTTTTACACTTGAAAGCTGAACAACTAATCACCATTGTAATAAAGTTTATACAAAGTTCACTACACACAAACTATTAAAGAGGGCTAAAATTGTCGCTGGTGACCAGATGATGACTCATTGTTTGCCATCAAACGAATGGCGTCTAAGGTCACATATTCTGCTGCAGCCCGTATATGGGCGTTACATATCCTTATATTATTTAGTCATTGGTTGTTAGTTTTTTCTACGTAATATAAAATATCCTTGCAGGAAAACCTTCTTCTGATATATATAAATAAAATAAAAAGTAAGAAAATTTTTGTATAGTTTCTTATTTCTTGCAATAATAACGTTTCAAATAGTCAAAATAAAAAGAAAGTCTTTGAAAGTATACTTGCAGAGTGGCCACGACGACACGGCGAGCCTTCTGGAACACATCCTCATCAGACCAACCTGGATTTGTCTTTTGAATACGCGAAGCTACAACATTGTGCCACCGAAAGAACAGAACACCCAGAGTCAAAAGCGCTGGATTCTGATTAGTCCTTGGATCTCCCAGTACTAAAAAATAAACATTACTACATATATTTATTGAAAGAGAAGCTTTGAAAGAATATTTACAGAATAGTCTTTCGGTACTGAGCATTTTCATCATGTGAGGTACGGGGTTATTGAACAGAGGAACCTTTTTATAGTTTCTGACCGGCATTTTTCCAGATCTGTCGGTTAAAAAGGTACCGTTGTGGAACGATCGCATAGCGCTGACCCATGGCTCGCTGGTACTGTAAATGAAGCTACCGTCTATCCAGCTCGTTGCTTGATTTAACTAAATAAAAAAAATAATCAATAATTTTATTATACAGAGTGATCCACTGTCCCCAAAAAGCTTCGTATTGGATGTTAAAAAATAAGTTACGATTCTTTCGGGGTAGTGAATCACTCTGTTGAGATAATTAATGTATTTACCTGTTCTCTGGGATTGTTAGGACTCTGGCCTGTTTTCCTGTCATAGCTGGCCCTGTGGAATGGTATGTACTTGTTTCCTTTGCATTCTTTATCGTACATTTCGTCGCACTTTTCGATTTCTATGTGATGCATTTCGATAGGACATCCACTCTCACTAGCCATAACAACCTAAAGGACAAGTTTTAATAAAAATCAACGTAAGTAACTAAAATAATATTAACACCTATACTGGGTGCAACTCAAAACCCCCTATAACTTTTATACTTTTCCAGATAAAAAATCGAGATTTGATATGTTATTATATGACGTAAATTAGGATAGATATTGACGTATTCAATTGTTTTCGGTCACTTCCTGTTTCACCGGAAATGACTACAACTTTTGATTTTTAAATTACACCCTCGGTACTTCATTACTTTATTTGATAGAAAATGACACTCTGAATAGAATGACATATCAGATGTCAACTTTTGACATTTTCGAATATGGTTTATTTCAAATTGCAACATGCTATTATTCATAACGACAATTTGACTCGAAATACTAAGTGCGTGGTACTAAATTATTCGTAAAAAATACTTTTTCCAAATATACTAATGAGCCACACTCGTTCCGTTTAAAAAAAATGAGATATAATACAAAATACGTTTTGGGCATCTTTTAACCGGCCAGGCCAAGACATTAAAAATATTAGACGATCAAATCTATTTTTCCGAGGTTCCTAGATTAAAAATTAGTGTTTTTAACACAATCAACTCTAGATTGAAATTTAAAATAGAATTTTGTTTTAAACAAAAATGTCAAAAGTTGATATATGGCATGTCATTCTATTCAGAGTATCATTTTCTATCGATTAAAGTAAAAAAATACCGATGATGACATTTAAAAGTCAAAAATTGTAGTCGTTTCTGGTTAAACACGAAGTGGCCGAAAGAATTGAATACGTTAGGTACTCAATCCTAATTTAACTCATATACCAAATCTCGTTTTTTATCTGAAAAAATAAAAAAGTTATAGGGGTGAGTCACTTTTCAGACGCACCCGGTATAATACAGTGGTATCTCAAAATTTAAACGCGCCAAAACTTGAAAACTTTATAATACCGGGAAATGACGACCTGCTGGAGAAATCAAATGTGTCGACTTTTTTTTCGAAACTCGAATTCTAAGGGGGTGAAACCACCCCTCAAATATTAGAATATTTTTTATTTAAAAACCGGTGAGTTTTTCGGAAAAACTCTTAAATATGACCATTGAGTAATCACGATTCTGCTTAAACTCCTTGACGTTTAAAGCTGATTTTTGGCAAACGAATTGACAGTGGGGTGTAGAGGTTCGGTAAGGAGGGGTTTCTCGAATCTCAAATTCCAATAGGGTGAAAACGCCCCTCAAATATTACAATATTTGTTATTTAAAAAACGGTTAGTCTTTCGGGAAAACGCTTGGACACGCATAATTTATTTTTTTTTCATATTTTGAAATTTTTTAAAAAATCATAGAGGGTCATCCAAAAGTTGGGTAATTGATTAACCACGATTCTGCTTAAACTGCTTGACGTTAAAAGCTTATTTTTGGCAAACGAATTTTTCGAAAGTCAAATTCCAACGAGATGAAACTACCCCTCAAATATTACCAAGTTATATAATAACATCGTCATATTGTTTTTTCTCATGCTGACATAAATGTGAGAAAAGTTTGTATGCTAATGGAAATTCTTGCTTTGCTTTATCATCACCATTACAAATTATTAATTCTACGCAAACGAAGTCGCGAGTACACGCTAGTAGGCAAATAAAGGCCTTCAAAAAAACGAGACCATGGTGTCGCGGAATGGCATACATTAAGTACATCTTGAAATGACCATCCAAAGTCAGCACCAAGCATGAACTGCGCAAAAAATTGCCTGACTAATATCAAAATATTATATAATAATAAACATAAAAGGATGTGCGAGTAAATAAAAATAAAGCAATAGAAGTTTAAAAAAATCCATTTAATATTTTTATTGTTTATGACATTCATATAAACGCATTATTAAATGGATTCGGCCTTATTAACGAGTGAGATATAATTACAATAACCTCACTCATCAAACTCATCGACTAGGAAGTGACCTCCAGTTTAAAAACTTGTATAAAAGAGAGTCTTCTAAAAATTCTTCAAGGTGATAAATTTACAAAATCAAACAACAGATAATACTAAATGCATATTAAATTAAAAGAACAAATGAAAAATTATGGAGGTCAAATGCTCCGAAGGTGTCGTGGAATTTTTTTGAAGAGTTACACGACCTATCGCAAGTTAAATATAGTTATTGCAATAGATATCTATGTTTCTATTTTTGGCTTTATGCGAACCATGCACTATATACTTGCGTGGCTTAGAACGTGGATTGGAAAATTTTTGCGCAAGTTTCTATAGACTTGAAGAAGTAAAAGAAAGTTTCAATTTTCGATTCCGAGACTTGTGCTAGTGTAGCATGTGCTCGTTCAAAGATTCAGTGTAATCTATCCCCCTGCATGTATGCAATTCTTACATTTTTTTAACATTTGGAAGAATTCATAAATATACAGGGTATTTCAATAAACATGTGTCATCTCTCATGGTGGGGATTCGTTGCGTAATAATAAGATTTATTTTTCATATCAATTCAATACCGATTCTGCTTTGTTACGTAGTTTTGTTAAGAAGAAAGTTAAAGTTTTCATTTTTTTTTCGATTTGTTATAATTCTTTTCTATGTGCTTTCAGTGATTTAGGGTACGTTTATGTTGGAGCTGCGATAAACGATAAAAGCAGTGAATTAGCGCTGCTCTTATCGTCGCTCAACTGCCAAGCATGTTTCGACGCGTTGCTCCAATATAGACACCTACATATAAATTAATATAATAATATTCTTTGCTTCGCTACTATGGCTACTATCGCAGCTCTTATCGTTTATCGCCGCTCCAACATAAACGCACCCTTAGAAAGGAAAATTGAAGAAAATAATTACTATAAGTGCTACATACTTTAATGCTAAAAAAGTGTCGACAGATTCACCAGTAACGTGGATATGGTTTATCACTGGAATATTTTTCTAAAGAAAACATTAACGCCTCTGACTTGACTGAAAAATGTTCCGTCTGTGGTCATTATAGAATTGTGTAACTAAACTTGAAGAAATAGGAAGGTCTAACGCTAAAGTTTGAAGCAGAATATTTTTGAATTTTGAGATTCCACTGTATTGCATACTGAAAAATTGCGATGATACTCACCTCAGAGGTAACTAGCTGGCCGAAAAAAGCCAACAAGGCTGTTCTGTTGTTCATGGAGGCCAGTCCATCAATTCCTTTCATAAACAACCTGCTGAGTTTTCGTGGACTGGGACGATTTTGCCCTGAGAGCATATACACTCCATCGGCGTATGAAGGCGGAGCTCTCCGTATGAGATGGCTATCTGAAAATAAAACATGCATTCAGCGAAATATTCTCATTTAAATCAATAATTTAAGATCTAAAATAGTTAATCTAAGTAAACTAAGATTACACAAGGATTGCAAATAATGTGTATATGTCTATAGATTTGTGGCGGGTTCATTTCTTGAAAAAGTCTGGGTTTTCAACGCAGGGGTATTTACAAAAACTGACTTTTTATTTACAGTTTAGTTACAAAAATACGCATCGATGCTGAAAAATATTGAAATATTATTTCTCGCTCTGCTAATAAACCGAGAGAGCTGGCTACATAAAAAACCTTATCATCGTTACATGGCTAATTTTTTGTGTGAAGTATCCTTTTGTGTAGCCATTGTGAAATAGTCATGTCTGCCAGCGCGATCCCGGGGCTTTAAGCGGGCGAGGCCAATCGAAAGGGTGAAATTTTGACACGAAAAATATTATAAGGTACACGAGTTATAATTGCCAAATAGCTTTTATTTATTATTAGGAAACGTGTAAAATTGTTGACAGATATTTTTCTCGTGGCTGAAATGCCGGCAGACAACACGAAAGAGGCATAGAATTTTGACAAAAGAAAATCATCGCATACATGCATGTCGGTTGATGAAATGTCATGTTTATTGTTAATTAATTTAAAAAGCCGTATACAAAAGGGCAGACAAAAAAAATCGTTATTGAAATAATAAAAAAATATATTTATAATATAATCGTATATTATATGATTTATCTATACTTAAATGGATGAGGCGGCGAGCGTTCCCTGAAAGCGCTAGAGTAATTCGCGCTTTTGATAACTGTCTGCAGCTGATTGAGCCACGATCTTTTTGTCTGCCCTTTTGCATACGGCTTTTAAAATAAATAAATATGACATTTCACCAATCGGCATGCAAATATGCCATAATTTATTTCAATCTTCAAATTTCATTTTTTAATAATTTTTAAAATTCCATGCCTCTTTCGCGTTGCCTGTCGGCATTTTAGCGACTGGAAAAATGTCCAACAATTTTCCACGTTTCTTAATAATAAATAAAAGGTATTTTCGCACTTATAACTCATGTATCTTTTCACCCCCGCTTTAAGCTCCGGGATCGCGCTGGCAGACATGACTATTCATAATGGCTACACAAAAGGATACTTCACACAAAAAATTAGCCATGTAACGATGATAAGGTTTTTTTATGTAGCCAGCTCTTAGACTATAATGCATTTCTGTTATAAAGTTGAAAATATTTCAAAAACTGCTAAACTTAAGTATAATAAGTAATACCGTAAGATCGAACAAAACGGCGCCCAGTTGGCTTGAAAATGAACATCGATGACATTTTCCATCTTACAAATAAAATGACAGATATCTTCATTGCGGATAGGAATTGCGGAGGAAAGCCGAGAATCGTGAAGATTTTGCCAATGTGATCGCCAACCTCCACGAAAGAGACGGCACGTAAAGAAGAAGAATCTTCATTGCATAGCCATCGCTGACGGCGTTTTTTTTCGATCATACGGTAGGTACTAAAGACAATCTGGTCAGGGTTTAAGGAATTTCCTTAAACTGTGATCTGGTGGTGGTGGGTCCTATGTCCAGAACTAGATATACAGGGTGTCCCAGACTGAGCGTGCATTAGACGTTTCTAGAGAACTACAACATCTAGCTCGGAGATTTTTTGCACAACATAGAATGAGATCTATCGATTAAAAATATTTTCAATATGGCGGCATTTCCGGAAATACCGAAAATTAACAGCAACTTTCTTATTTTAAATGGGTGTCGCCATTTTTTAGTACACACTTAAATTCTTTGTAAAATATTATGAATTTTGACATTAAACACTCTATATCTAACATTAATCGTTTTTGAGAAAACAAATATTTAACATTTTTGAGCGAAAAAAACTGTCTGTCAAAAATATGTGTATAGCCTAAACGTCAAATTTAGTGATTACCACAGCCACTGTGTTATAAAGAGAAAACATGTAGCTATCTATTTCAAAAATTAAATTGTTCGAATGTCATGTAATAATGGCCGCAGCTGTCATAGAACTAAGGGATTAAAAAATTATCATAAATCATTTTTTTCAAATGGAAACCCACTTTTTTATTTCACTAGTGAAAAGGCTTTTCAAGTCGTTACTTTTTAACTATACTGACTATACAATGTTCCTATACCTAAAATAAATCGTTTTTAAGTTATTTAAGATTTAGTTTTAAAGCGTATATTTTCTTGATTTTAACCAGTAGCCTATGACTTTAAACGTCAAGTGATGTAAAATAATAGATCTGACCATGTCATATTGTGAGAAATTAATAAATAATATTTTCTTGCCTTTAGCTGTGTATTTTTTCTAATTTCGAAAAATCGATAGTAGAGAAAAAAAAAGTAAAAAGAAAATTGTTTTGCTTGTCGTAAAGGGGGGAGCCAAGCTCCACTCCCACAACCGGTTTCTGGGCCTACCCTTCATACGGAAAGCAAAACTTCTTCTATATCAACAGACGATGTCGTAAAGTATCGGTGAGATATTAGTGCATCTCCCGTCAAAAGATGGTAAAGAGCGTTTTTCGGACCGCTTAAATATATATGAAATGAACCAAATTCTTACATCTTTAGGGTATATTAATAAATAATATTTCCTTGCCTTTAGCTGTGTATTTTTTCTAATTTCGAAAAATCGAAAGTAGAGAAAAAAATAAAAAGTAAAAAGAAAATTGTCAATCATACGGAATATTATTAATAATATCAACTATTAGATATCACTAAAGAGCGAAAATACGAGATATATTTTTCTAAATACACTTTTTAAACTCTTAAGGCAGGCAGTATTTATAATATAGGAAATTCAAATAATTCGTTTTCTGACAGATAGAAACAAATTGTCTGACCATTTGACACTTAATGTCAAAGGAAGCTAGATAAAATTAGGAAAAATATACGTTTTCAAATTAAATCTTAAATATCTTAAAAACGATTTATTTTAGATATAGCAACATGTATAGTTAAAAAGTAACGAATTAAAAAACCTTGTCATTAGTGAAATAAAAAAGTGGGTTTCCATTTGAAAAAAATGATGTATGATAATTTTTTAATCGCTCAATTCCATGACAGCTACCGCCATTATTATATGACATTTAAACAATTTAATTTTTGAAATAGATATATAGCTTTATGGCGCAGTGGATGTGGTGATCACTAAATTTGACTTTTAGGCTATATCATAGATAAATGCAACAAGTTTAGATTGGAAAGCCCGTAAAAATTTTAGGTCGCGAAATTATTTTGGGTCGCGACCGTTATAAGCGATTTGGCGCTGCTATAGCGGTCGCTAAGAACAACGGCAAACAAAAACAGAAATAATTTTCTCTTGCCGTTGTTCTTAGCGACTGCTATAGCAGCGCCAGATCGCGTATAACGGTCGCGACCCAAAATTTTTACGGGCTTTCCAATCTAAACTTGTTGCATTTATCTATGAAAAGCCGAACCGCTCCGAAATTTTCAAAAGTTTTGGGTCGCGACCGTTGCAAGAATAGCGCCAAATAGTGTTTACATTGTCCTTATGGGCACTTTCCAATCTAAACTTGTTTCATTTATCTATGAGCTATATACATTTTTTTGATAGGTAACTTTTTCGTCCAAAAATTTTAAATATTTTTTTTTCTCAAAAACGGTTAATGTTAGGTATAAAGTGTTTAACATCAATTAGAACTCATAGAATTTTACAAAGTATGTAATAAAAAATGGGGGGTACTCATTTAAAATAAGAAAGTTGTTGTGAACTTCCGGTATTTCCGGAAGTGCCGCCATATTGAAAATATGTTTAATCGATAGATCTCGTTGTATAACTATGATGTGCAAAAAAATCTCCGAGCTAGATGTTGTAATTCTCTAGAAACTGTCAGCCGCCGGAAGTAGAACTCCTTGATGAAATGCATGAAGAATACGAATACCGGGTGGCTCACCCCTATAATTTTTTTTATTTTTTTCCCGATAAAGAAACGATATTTGGTATGTTAGTATATGACATAAATGCTTTGAATAAGAAGACTAAGGAAGGAGCATATCAAAAATCTTAGGCACACCGCGATGGGCCTCAAACATGGCCGACTTAAATTCCGGTTTATCAGTGTCGTTCTAATTTTATTTAAAAAATGTAAAACTATGATGTAGGGTAGACGTGGGGTAGACTCAATAATTTGTTGTTTTATTTTACGTTGTGAATAAATGTTGGTAGTTATTAAAATTGTTATAAAAATATATAATTCTAATAAAAATAGATAAGTTATAATAAGTATTTATTAACACAAACATCCGATACGCTACTGAAGCAGGTAAGTCAATTAACGTATCTAAATTCTTTTGACATCTAATCTGGATGCAATAAATAAAAGCTAAATGCAAGAAAAATATATAATTTAGTTAATTGGCGAATTTCATAAATGATCGGTTTACTACACGTATGTATATTATATAGTCACTTACTAGCGAAAAGTTGTTCCATTATTTCACTCACTTTGCCGAGTCTACCGCTCGCTACACAACCAACTATTTTACAGTCTTTTTCGATAAATCGCGATAGTGTCACTGTTAATTTAAGTTCTGCCACATCATCTAGATTTACTACCTTTATACAACTATCAGTAGTAGAATAAATAATAAATAACATAAAAATAAGCTCCGTAAAGACCGACAAATCCACGCAAAAATTTCAAATCAAATCCAAATGTGTCAAATGAATCGTCAAACAGAACTGGCGATCCCCACCCACAAGTGGCTCACCCCTATAATTTTTTTTATTTTTTTCCAGATAAAGAAACGATATTTGGTATGTTAGTATATGACATAAATGAAGATTGATTGTCGTATTCAAATAGTTTCGTTCACTTCACTGTTTCACCGAAAATGACTACAGCTTTTGATTTTTAAACTGAGATCACGGGTTTTTTAACTGAAAAAATAAAAAAATTATAGGGTGAGCTATTTTTGAAAAATACCCAGTGTAATGATGTACA